CCTCCTCCTTTCGCTGGCAACCCAGAGCCACCTCGTCCTCAGGCACCTCCTCCTTTCGTTGGCAACCCAGAGCCACCTCACGGAGTGGCCGCGGCAACGAGCGCCCCATGCACCACCTCCACCTTCCTTGAGACCGTCATCAAGACCCTTCCATACGAGCCGGTGCCTACCCAGCCCGCTGCCCCGTACCGGCCGCCTGAGCATCCCCAGGCCCACGTGCCTCAGCCATATGCTCCATCCGAGCCCGCTCATGCCGTCGAGCCCACCCATCCTGCCGAGGCCGTGCCAAGTGGTGTTTCTCCCACCCAAGAGGCTGAGGCTCCCAAGGGCCAACACAACCCTGGCTTCGAGAAGCAAGAGCCTGGCCGGCCCCCTTGCACCTCTTCCAAGGCGGAAGCTCATCCCGCGTCGGCTCCGACTGCTCCTTCGTACCCTCCACAGGGAAATTCTCAGGCCCACCCGCAGGCCAGCGCCCCCGGAAATTCTCAGGCACATCCTCAGGCCAGCGCCCCTTCTGACCCTGGTCACGGGCAGCCTCAAGCCGCCTCGACTCCCTGCCCCACGGGCGGGCCTGGAGGTCACCAACCTGAGCCTACAGCTCCTTCCAATCAACCGCATCAACCCCAGCACGCTGACGCCAAGGAGGTTCCGAAGCACGCGCCCACCTCGGCAGAGCCCCTAACCTCCATCACGTCCACCATCACCGTGAGCCACACCTCCACCTTCGCAGTGGTCCCCGTGTACATGGACAACAACCACAAGGCCTCCTGCACGTCCGCTGCAGACCGCCAGCGTCCCAGTGACGTGGACCCGCAGGCTCACCACGCGGCTTCTTCCCCAGCAACTACCCAAGCCGCCAAGCCCTCGAACCACGCCGCTTCGTCCTCGACGTCTAGCCAGGCTGCTAAGTCCTCGAACCACGCCGCCGCTCCGTCCTCGACGCCTAGCCACAACACGATGTTCACCGGCACCGCGGGCCGGATCGCACCCGCTGCTGGCGTCGTGTCCGCCTTGTGTGGTCTCATGGCTGTTCTTGCCTTCGTGCTGTAGGCTGTAATCGAGCCGTTGATGGGTTATGATATCTGATGTGTTGACATGTTGAATTTCTCCTTGTCTCGGTTCTTTAAATTTCTAATCTTATGTCTTTTATATTATTGACATTTGCTGTTACACTCGCTCTGTCTGTATTCTTTTCTTTTAGGATTATCTCCAAGCAAATGCTAGGTGTAATGTCTTTCAGAATCCTCTTTCCTCTGTAGTGTAACTTCCATCTTGTAGATACTTTCCCTCCAGTGAAGTGGGCAATCGCTCAGCGTCACTTGATTCTTGATCGAGGTCTTGGGTACCTTGCGGCCAGCTCCAGGTCGTGATGTCAGCGTCTCACGAAGCTAAGGATGTGATACTGAACAGTAAATACTTGTTTCTTGAACCTAGTCCATGAATATTTCTCTACGTTCTGCAGTTGTGTACTTGCTCTAGGTGATGTTGGCACCCTCCAAGGTCCTTATTATGTCACTGTTGCCGAATAGAACGTCCACCACCACATCACTCCAGTATGCTGACTTTACGAAACTTCAATTACGATCTGATATCAATCGATGTAGAATTGCTATCATACAGCTATGACTAAGCGATCCGACTGGGTTGACCTCATGCTTCTGATATCATAGTCCCATCATTCTCGAATCAAGGACCAACGGTGACATCAATTGCCCTCTTCCTCATCTCGACCGGAGCAGAAGTGAGTTTATAAGAGCTTCCCCTGCTCTTCATTGTTTCCGACCAGAACAATTCAAAGCTTTGAGTATACCAATAACCAAGCCGTCTTTGTGAAACAAATATACGAGTACAACATGTCTTCCGACGACGCTCACAGAGGAGGCGCCCTGACCGAGATGGCCGAACACGGCACCTCCATCCCCAACGACGCAGGCCTCCAAAACACTCTCCCCTCCGTGCTGCGCCCCGACCAGCTCAGCGAAAGCGGCCAGTTCGATAACCACGGCCTCGCGGAGCCCTCGCTGGCTTTTGCCGCCGACAACGCCACTGATCTGCCCCGGAGCACCAAGGAGATGGGCGCAAGCGGGGAGGTCGTCACGGGGACTGGCGACGCGTTTCCTGTCTCCGGGGAGACGAAAAGGATTAACCCTGGCGCGATGGATCCCGGTGCGCGCGGAAATGCGCGGACGATCAAGCATGCGAACCTCAACCGGAGTAAGTTCGATCGGTCTGCGAGAGAGGATGGGAATGCGCCTGAGTTCATTGGGGAGCATGAGTTCCGGAATCGGACGGAGTGATTTGCATGGTTGGGTTCTGTTTCGTTATGATGTACTGATATACTTGCGGGAAATGGTCGAGTAATCTATTTTTGTTTTGGCTCGTTTATGCTGGCGTAGAAGGGGCGATAAAGCCCCGGTAGATCTCGTCAAGAACGTCTCGTTTCCGCTTCCGGTCGGCTTGCTCGGCCTCTTCGGCCTCGTCGGGCTCGCCCTCGGGCTCCCGTGAGACCCAGGCGCGGATGGTCCCGTCGCCGTGCGCGGAGTACATCTCCAGTCCTTCGCCTGATCCGCCATTCCCGCGCCATACGAGAGAATTAATCCGGGCAGCGCTGAGGGCGCTGGATCGCCCGCGCATTTGCTGCCGACCAGCCATTAGACCGGGGACCTTGAGACGTTTGATGAACGTCCCCTCTCGAAGTTCGAACATAAAAATCTCTCCGCGATCGTCGTGTTCGTTGAAATTGGCCCACAGGAGTGTCTCTTGCCCTGGGGACATTAGTCCACGGGGCACGATCAGCGGAGCCCGCTCAGCAAGATGAGAGGACACGCCGTTCCGGACCCTGGGTCCAAAGTGGACGAGGGTATTGGCGCCTGTGGAGGCGTCCCAGACTCGGATTCGGGCATCTTGGCCGGCTGTAACGAGGTGCGTCCCGGTTGATGTCCAACGGACACCGGTCACAGCACCATTGTGCGCGCGGGCGTGCGGTGAGAACGCCATGCGGCTTTGGTAGGATGCCGGGGCGCACTGCGGATGAACTAGGCCGACCGCATCATCCATATCAAGGGTTGCGATGGCGGAATTGTGACCGGCCCTTCGAACGTCAAAAAGAATCACGCGGTTGTCTGCTGACGCGGAGGCGAGGATATGTGGCCGGTGAGGGGCCCATGCAACTGAGAGAACCGCAGAGCTATGGCCCGGAAGTCCGTGTGTGGATAGACCGGACCGCAAATCGAGCAAGCGGACTGCTCTCTCTGATGTGCCTACTGCAATAAGAAGCGTGGAACCGGGATGCGACGACATGGAATGAGAGTAAGGCGTGCAGTCAAGCCTGAATGTATGCATAGGCGTGATGGTGCCAGGCGCCAAGGCAGAGAGCTTGAGGCTTCCATCATGCGCAGTAGTCAAGATTGTAGACGGAGTCGGATCAAATGGGTATATTGAAACCGACGTAATCGCATGCGTATGGGCATCTTCGTGAGATCCCTTGTGGATAGAGGCAATAGGCCGGTGGATATGATCCAATTCGGCGCCTCTGGTTTCCAGGTCCCAGAAATGAATTGATGGGTCTGCGCCACCGGAAACCATGCTGTTCAATCATTAGCATCGAGTCGGAATTGATTGAAAAGAGTACATACAATCGTGAATCATTTTGATCGATGGCGAGTACATTCACGCCAGCCCTATGAGCAACAGCATCGCTTTCATACCCCGGGTTTACATCAAACAACGCAGAATCACGTCCGGATTGGCCTCCAGGTATGTCCCTCAGGCTTGAGAATCGAATGCGAGGAGCTGGCTCAAGGTGGTGAACAAGCCGGGTAGTTTGTGACACATGGAAGGAGTGCGGAGTAATGGACCCAAGGGCCCTGTTTAGGAGATACGAATTCATTCATCAGGGATCGAGCAACACAAGATCCTTTGATACGTCAAGGCGATGATTAAATCGATCTCCCTTCAATGCTTCCAATCAAGCAGAATAGATCGCCGTCTCTTATCGCAACGCGGGGGCGGAGAAAGGTTGCACCGGAGCTTGTAATTTCGGGATCATCGCAAGAAGCCAAAGTAAAAAGTAATCTGCAGACATAGCTCGTATCAGTCTATTTGCCTCGCTAGGTTCAGGGCTGACTGGAGATTCCCCCTGATGCTCTCCCACGGGTGACCCTCAACACGACAGGACTATGTCCTACAGCAAATCCCTTGCGCTGAGCCAGAATTCCTTCGTCCAGCCTCCGGACCAGGACAATGGCTCGCGCGACATTCAAGACGAGCCTTTGCTCCGGCGACAAAAACGCCAAGCGACTGTCTACGATGCTGTAGCTGGTTGGTAGGGCTATTCCGCTTTCTCCAGAGCTTACTGACAGGTACAGGTCGTGTGAATGCACATGGGTTTCTCCCCTCGGTCTCATATGCATCGAAACACCGCGACACAGCATCCTCCAGCGCTCGTCCCGTTCGTCCCGAGGAGGTACTCTTCCGTCGCCAGAATGCGCCAATACGATACGAAGAAAATGACTTTTACTTCGCAAACGAGTCCCTCCCTGCTGACCGCCCTCTTCCGAGCTCCGAGCTGCTAGAAGCTATTCACGCTTACACGGCCGATTTCTACGATCATGCAACGATCGATCGTGGTCAAGACGACTATCAAAGCATGGATGAGACAGCTCTGATAGCAATGGGAATACTGATGGAGGAAATGGCACGAGAAGCTCTGGGTGAAACCGGAGACTTGGTTCTGGTCGAGGGGGAGGAACTCTCGACGGACGATGATCACCTATCGTCGAGACTCGGAAGTCGCCGCGTAGGCCGGAAACGGGCCAATACCAGCCAGAGTATGATTTTGGCAAGCTCTGGCGATGATCTGGATAGCGTTGTTAGAAAGCGGCGGTCGAAGAAGCGCAAGTTGACCCGGAGGGCGTCGACTACCGATTTTGATACAGAAGCAGATGAGAGGTTGTGAACTCGGACTCAATTTTTGTGAGGGGCACCTCTTCGACGCTTTATGGGGGCCCGATCCACCTCCAGTGATTCGACTTCATGGTTAAGCCTGCCTGTTACGGCACATCGGTCACACTATACTCAAAGACAGCTGAGAGGCAGAGAAACCTAGTTTGGGGATCAATGCACAGAGCAAAGGTATTTAAGGTATAAATTGACTGTGTTAGAGAAACAACTGAGCATATTAAAGAGCTCGCAACTACAATGAATGTCGTGGGTGAAGGTTCGGTCTTACTGTTACAGCAAGTTTCTGCTGAAGATTTTGGAGCATCGGAGGACTGCGTTAAGTGTTCATTATCTATATTAGCAATTTGAATCCCCATTACATCATTTGCATAGCAATTGCACTGTAGACAATGTGAACCGAAGAACAACATGTTGTGTGACTCGATCTGGCATCGCAGAACTCCAGTCCTCTCTTGTGCCATTGTCAACGAGTTTTTCAAACGCATCACCACTCAGACCAGCTCATCATTCCTCCATCTAATCCATATCTGAAAGACACCAGTTTCCTATGCCTCCATCGAACGCCTTCCTAGGCCTTTAGACCAGCTCAACAACTACACATAGCATCGCTTGACGAACATCAACATCCGCCATCCAGCATGGTTTGCTCCCCGGCTTTCACTTTCCCTGATCTTTCAAAACCGATGCATACGCAATCAAAGAAAACAAACTACGTATCTACAGTTACTTGAGGCTAACGATCCTGTCAGCCACCAAAACTCTCTAAAAGCGCTAAGGAAGACTTGATAGTCGCGCATCTCCGGTCCACACGCACGTGCCACACCCTCAAAGACCTCGAGAAGATGCTTCCTTCGGTTGCTTCGATAAATGGCATACAGGTGAAAGAGTATATTCAGAACCTGACGGACGAGGGAAAGATCCGGGTGGAGAAGATCGGAAGCGGGAACTGGTACTGGTGTTTTGGCGAGGATGAGAAAAGGGCGAAGCAAAGACGATTGAACCAGCTGGAGAAAGAGGCGAAAGCTCTGCAGGCGAGCTATGGTGAAGCAGAGGCTAGTCTGACGGCCAAAAGGGACAAATGGGAAGAAGAGGGAGAGGATGGGGCATCAAACCTGGCAGAGAGGGAGGAGTTGACGCGTCGGAAGGGCGAGCTAGAAAAGGAAAGGAACCTGTTACAAGCCCAGTGGATCGCAACTACTACGACGGAAGAAGGGAAAGGAGTGCAGCAAATGAGAGAGGAGATTGAGGAGTTCCAGAAACAGGCGCTTATGTGGACGGACAATATCTACGTGCTGGAGGGGTACTTGAGAAAGCTGGCAGGAGGGGATCGGGATATTATTGCGGCTGTGCAAAGAGAATGCTATGGGGATGAGTACGTGGAGGGTGAGGGCTTGAGAGAGTTAATTATTTAGGCACACCGGATTTCATGAATTCATACATGACGAGGGAGAAAAGTGTTCTATATCTAGAGTGTAGTAGTCCTTGAGATGGATCGCAACCGGGAATATAACCCGACAGATGTGAGGTATCACTATTAGCAGAAGCATGTGGAGGCATGAATAATAACAAATGCAACACGAGAGCAGTCTCAAACTAAGGCCAAATAGCCAGCCCCCAAGAGAAGCTTGACTGTCGGCCTGCGCAAACCCGTTGGGTCTTTCCCATACTCCGCCTGGTTGGGCTTGTTGCTTATCGCGAACTTGTCCTTGTCCCCTCCCCCTTCTCAATCCTGCTGCTGTCACTCGGCCACCACCACTACTACTACTACTACTACAGTCCTTTGTTCAACCTCTTCCGATACTATATTAATTCTATATCGATCTACCACTTACAACGGTTACCTTACAGTCACAAGCGATCGGATATCCCCACCCGCTGCCTCTGGTCCCCCATAACCTCCTTCTGACCAATCTGTGTCTCGCAATCAACTCCATCCGAGTCCGCATCCTCCGACCGACGGTTCTCGCCTCTTCCTTTGGCCTCGACCGACTCGCATCCTCTACCCATCCATCCCTTGCCGACCGTGGGGGAGCACTCACGCATCACACGGTTGTCTCACCTCTGCCATTTTCGGTCATTTGCTGCGTTGTGCTTACTCAAGCATACCCTCAAAGGACATCCTCTGGACCCTTGTCCTGTTGTTCTTGGTCGATACGCGAGAAATAACGATGCGGCCCTCTCCGTCGTTCATGATCATCACGTCCTGACGTCCCTCACGACCGCAACACTCTGTCCCTCCTGTCTGGTTGCGCTCGGACGCGGATCTTCCCCTTCCCGCGACCTCGGACTAGAAGCAAGCCTGGATCTTTAGCTCGTGTCAAGGTTGTGCATTTACGCCCAACGGTGACATCGGCACTGGTGGCATTTCTTACCTGAACTTCCCGGCGCCTGGACGTGTGATCGGTGGATTCGATTCACGGAGAGTTTCCAGGTCCCTGTCATACCGAGTTGCTCTGCCAGTGTCTGATTGCACCTTCATCTACTTACTTTCGTCACCTGAATTGGGGTTATTCTATCCCGAGACAATCGGAGCTGGCTTCTGATAGTCTTGAGCTTAGCAATTCGTCTTATTTTGTCTTTGTCTTGCCTGATCGCCTCCCAACATCATATCACATCATAATTTCCCTCGTGTATGGCTTGAACACAGTGTGATTGTGTGTCATGTCCGTCAAGTCCTTTACCTCCCCATCCTCAACCTCGCCGCTCGGTCGGAATCGAAGCTCGCTATTGTCCAAATTCCGCGCGCCGTTCAGTCACCGGAATCGCAGCATTGCCGACTATTATATCGAGCCTGACGATCCCTGGCGCTCGTACTTTCCCGGTGACGTGGTCAAGGGTACTGTGGCCCTGACCGTGGTTCGACCCGTGCGGATTACACACTTGGTGGTCTGTCTACATGGATATGTCAAGGTGTTCAAGAACACTGTGCCTTCGGGCGAAACGGATCCCGATCTGGGGTTCCTCGGCCCAGGGCGTGGGCGTCGAGGACCAGAGTATCTGGGCAACGGCCTGGCCACTCTGTTCGAGGACGAGGTGGTTCTCTGCGGCGAGGGGCGCCTGAAGGAGGGCATCTACAAATTTCGCTTCGAAATGTGCTTCCCGCCTTATGCGCTGCCCAGTAGTATCAGCGTGCGTGACCTCCTTCCTATTTTGGAATTGATCTCCCCTATCCCGAGCTTCCAGATTCGCTGACTATTTCTGATGACTTCAGTTTGAACGAGGTACCATCTCGTATATGCTTACATCCACTCTGACCAAACCCACGACGATGAACCCGACCGTTTCCTGCCGAAGACGCGTCAATTTCCTAGAGAACATCGATATCGCTCCCTTTCCGGCCCCTAAGGCTCGCATCGTGACCCTTGAACCTGTTACCAAACGCTCAAAACCCAAGGGCAAGGCCAAGTCAGTAGAATCTGACGCGGTTCCTGATATCCAGTCTCGGGAGCCGTCTCTCAGTGGTGGTGGAGCGGTCGGAGATAGTCGCCCGCCCCTTAGTCCGGCCCCGAGTAATGTCAGCTCATCGAGTCGGCTCAGTAACAGCAGCCAAAGCTTTCAACTGGCCAGCGATCCTAGCTCGTCTGCTGGCGCCGGGATACGCAATGGCAGCATTACCCCTTCGATCGCGGATAAGACCATCACAGCGAAAACGGAACTTTTACGGGCTGGTGTGCTGGCGGGTGACACGCTACCGATCGTAATCACCATCAATCATTGTAAACAAGTGCGCAGCGCGCATGGAATTATCGTCACATTATACCGACAAGGGCGCATCGACCTTCATCCTGCCATCCCCATCGGCACTACAGGGGATGGCAAAAAGCCTGTTTACGAGGACTACTATCCGCGATCACGGACAGGACTGGGAGGCCTTACGATAGGCACTAGTCGCACCAGCAGCGTCTTCCGGAAAGACCTGGCTCAGACTTTTGCGCCTCTGGTGGTCGACCCCACGAACATGACTGCCGTGGTGAAGACTTCAATCCGTATTCCGGAGGATGTTTTCCCTACTATTACGCGCACTCCAGGCAGTATGATTAATTTTCGATATTACGTGGAGGTGGTTGTCGACCTACGGGGCAAGCTCACGTCTCCCGAGCGCTTCTTACCACGATTCAACATGGTATCGTCGGGGAGTAATTTCTCGCCGAGTGGCCAGGTTCTGAACGCAAGTGACGCCAACGGCAACTCGATTACGGCGAACTGGGCTGGCAACATTCTAGACACAGCACAGATACGCCGTGAAAAGGGAGTTGTAGCTGTCGCGTTTGAGGTTGTGATCGGGACCCGTGACTCGCAACGGCGCAAGGAGAAAGCCGAACGCACGCCCTCAGTGGCTGCGGTGTCTGAGATATATCCACCCCAGGCACATCCCGCTGTGGAAAGTGACCATTGGCAGAACGGTTATAGCCCTATGCCGACCGCGGACTCGGAGTATCCGCCTCAGACCGACTATGGCTTTCCTGATGAGTCGCAGTGGTCGATGTATATGGACGAAACCGCTCAACACTACCAGTCATTGGGCGGAATTGTTGCAACACCGCAGTCTGAAGAGCCGATGGATGAGAAAGCACGCCTGCGGCACGCAGAGCAGACTCTCTTACCCAGTCGGCCGCCGGATGATCCCGAACAAGGACCTTCGACCGGTCACTCGGCGATACCAACTGCGCCTGTGCTTCCTGAAGATGACCACATCAACGCCTATCACCATGTACCGTCGCCGGTGGAGAACGGTCTGCCTCGCACGTTGGGATCAGCTGAATCTGTGCAGACTGTAGTTGCCAGCAGCAGTGTGGCCGAACCCAATGGAAGCACAGCACCTCCCGGCGAGGATAAGCAGGAATTGGAACGACGGCGCCTCATGATGGAAGCAAGTGCTCCAGAAGACATGGATGTCCATAACGACCACTCCCCCGTGCATGGACCCAGTGCTCCGGTTTTCCATGATGACCACGACGAGCAACTGGTGGGAGGAGCAGCCCACGGAGACGAGTCATTACCGCGTTACCAGCGATAAGCAGTGAAGCTGTTAGGCGATTCATGACGATGTACGATTTTCATAGCTTGTATTTGTGTTCATCTGCCACTTGAGCATGGGGCGTGGATATACCTTTATCTTGCATTTTCGGCCCAAAGAGATACCAACTACGTTATTGAATTGTTTTATTTGTCTGATACGAGCAGCTGTAGCGCCATATTACTTAGCAGATATGATAATAATCGGAAGCAATAATCGGATCGGGCCCGTATAAAATAGACTTTTATCCCGCAATTAAGAGACTTACCCCGAGCTGATAGGCAGATAGATAACTGTCACATTAACCTAGGTTACTTCCAATTCCAATAGGTGTGCGTTCCAAGCGGGCTGGCTTGGCACCGTCTCTAAGCGGCCACGCGACGACACCTAATCTTCAGCGCATCAGCCGTTCGCCCTCGTCTTCTCCCCTATTCCTACCTCATCCTCCCTACAGCGCCCTCTCCCCCATCAATAATCCTCCCCAGCACGTCCTCCATCGCAAGCAACCATGGCCTTCAGGAACGGGTCCTTCGCGACCTTCCTGATCGTGTGTCGTAAGCCCCCTCCCAGTCCCTCCCCAAGAACAGCACCTCAGAAAGCAACCTGTCTAACAAACCCCAAAAAACAGCCGTCAGCTTCTTCCTCGGCATCATCTTCTCCCTCTTCCCCTATGACTACCCCATCCTGTGGTCCACGGCCCCAACCCCCACGGCCCACTATGACTACCTCGAAGCGCACCTGCGCTTCCTCCACGCCTCCCCGCCCCTAATCCCTCGCATCCTGCACATCGTCATCTTCGTCGGCCTCGCAGGCCTCGTCTCGAAACTCTACCGCCCCTCCGAGAGCAACATGCTCTTTGACGGCGCCTCGCTCGTCCTCTACATGTGCGGCATCACCGTCTACATCGCCAACATCGTCAAGGGGCTGCGTCTTGCCTCGGCGGGCAAGTACGGCGAGGAGCTGGCGGCCGCCCCCGAGGAGAAGGAGCAGATTCTTAACCGCGAGGACTCGCTTAAGGTGCTCTCGGCGAGTAATACTATCCTTGCCTTGGTGTTGGTGGGTGTCTTGGTGCTGCAGGCGGGGCAGTGGTATGCGGAGCGCAAGGATGCGCAGGAGTATGCTTCGTTGAAGAAGGGGCATAAGGAAAGTGGTGCTTCGTCGGCGGCGTCGGCTGCTGCGGCGGCGAAGCCTGGGAGACAGGGGAGTGTGAAGAAGAAGAGTACCTAGGTTTACTTTTCCTGTCTCTCGGGTCAAGTTGGCATGACTCGGTGTATTGCAGTTTGATGTTTATGTATGGGTGGAATAGGTCGCTTACCGGGAGGGGCTGATACGGGCGATGGAATGAGATATGCTATCAAAAGTATGCGAGTCATGGCTATATCTACTTGGGCTAGTTCTATGTACATGATAAAAGTAAAAAAAAGAACCAAGCAGCAAAGCCTTGACAATGTTTCGTGATGATCGTATATAAACATTATCGCAATGCAAAAGGGGAATCATACGATGAAGCGCTCAGCGACCATTGACGTCGCTTGGCTTACAGAACGAACGTGAGCATCATGACAAAAGAGTGGATGTGATCGTGTCACATCACTGTCTCGGGAGCAAATGAGAACGGACTCCGCGGCAAATCGGGCGACCTGGGACTCAGCGCTTTGGCGAATAGGTCCTCGCCAGAGTCGGCGCTGGATGTGCGCGTAATTGCAGTCATAGACGCAAAGCCACTGTTGTGATCATTGCTGTTTTGTTGTGCTTGGATGGATTCCGGCGGATAGAGTGCCACAGTCCTAAGACTGGCATCTGGCGCGGGGGAGGGATGCAAAGCGGCGTTGGACAAGGGTTGAATTGTATGGAAGGAGTTGAACGAAGAGACGGMGACGTCGGGCGATTGGGGAGAAAGGAGATGGCGCGCGTCCGCGGATGCTACTACCCCATTAGTTGGCGTCGAACTGGAGGAACGCGACGAGCCCATACCATCCGCCTTTGGAGACAATTCTCGCTGACTGGTCTGCAACTTAAGTCCCTTGAGCTTCTCGCCCAGCTTGCCTCCACTGCTGGGAGACACTGGCGTGGCGGGACCCATTGGATATTGTGAATCTTGCATGACCTGTGTCTGGGCTTCCGACTTGGAACCCACTCCAAAATTGCTCTCGATCCATTCCTTCTCCTGCAGCGCCATGTGCAGCGCGACGCCTTCCGCGTTGTTCATACATTCCTCCCGAATCTCCTTGTCCAGGACCTGCAGCCGCTTCTTGGCCCAGATCGTATGCAAGACACCCTTTTTCCCGGCCGAGCGACCAGTGGCACCTAACTCCGGAGGAAAGATAGCAGGTAGCGGATTGAGTTGAAGCGAATTGGTCTTCTGAGTCGGCGTCGACGCGGCCGAAGATGTAGTGGGAGGCTCATAAGAGAGAGTCACCACGGGAGGAATGGTGGCATGAGGCGGTAGAAGGAAGTAGAAGCGGCGAGTGTTTTCGCTTGTTCGCTCATCGGCAGGGAGGACCGTCGTCTTGCCTTCCCATGAAACATGCCATGAGCCTCCAGGAGAATCCGAGGAGCGGCCGAGGTCGTCGTCATCCCATTCGATCATGAGAATCTTAGTGCCATCATTTCCTTTGCCAGCCTCGAACTCGAAGCGGGCCAGCGCCGTGATGCTCAAGCTCTGAGATGGCACGCGGGGTGTGTCTAGACCAGCAAACTCACTGTCCGGAGTGAAGGGAGGGGAGAGGGCGCAAGACATGGCTAGACTATACTTTTGTGGGAAGAAGATAGCAGGGCGCTAAGCAAAGGGGGGAGGGAGTGCTGGAAAAGGAAAATCGTGTTTGTTTATTTTCCCGTCCCCCTGTCCTTCAGAGGATGGATGGCTGGCGCGTAGGGAGAGATGACACAGAGACCGATGGACAGTCAGGCTGAGAAGCTGAAAGGTACGTTCAAAGGGCAGGAAGTAAAGTGAGAGTGCGAAGGACAACAGAGCAGACCGACAGAGAGAGAAAGTGGTCGATCACGGGATGGCGGAGGGGCTGCGTATCCCAGCCTAGTTGATGGCCATGCTTCTTTATCCGTTCGTATTGTCCAGTCGAAAGCCTTGATACGATTCGATGGCCAATGTCAAAGGGCCCAGATGTCTTCGTACTACGACGTAGATAGCAGTCGTCCGAACGCGAAAGACTGCATATCTTTTGAGGGGTCTTCTTGGCCGCGCTTCTAAATATAGAATTATGGCCTGCAAGGCTACAACGACGGCTTGGCGCCTGACGATGTCGTACTACCGCACACATTGCCCCTCGTGCTACTCTTTACGGCTGGTTTGACCTGATCCGGTCTTTTGGTGGGTAGAGTAGTATATCCGTACAGCCCACTTACCTGGGTAGCAATGAAGAATTTGTCCACAATAGTTCTTCCATCCCAAAGACTGAGGAATGGATACACAGTCAGAGCCGCAGATCACTATCCGCGAGCTCGAGGTCAACGCACGCAAGGGCAAACAAGAGATACAGAAACAGTCTCGTACCTATCAGATTTGTGCATTCCACGTCCGAGAAAGCATAATAAGCATAATTGAAGGTCTTGAATTGACCATCCTCAATTTCGTCACGAGAACCGGTGTCTTGTACGGTACAGTACCATACAAAGGACCTATGGGACCATTGGAAAGACGAATCAAGTGGAGGATGCAGGAGAATGATCGTCTATAGAAGTGATGAGACGGTCGTCACTTCGGGAGACAATGACATGGATAAGGGGCTGTTGCAGATGAATGATGGTGAAGAAATCATCATGCAGGGGAAAGTACTTGACCTATCATGAACAACAACCGCTCTCATTAAGCAAGGAAAAGTTCTAACCTGGGTGCAGTCATGGAGATCTAAGACATTAGCTGAGAGAAGCTCGTTTACCTCAGAGGCAGAGGACGCAGGAGACGGTTGTCTGCAATATGCTAGTGCTGAAGGTGTGCATCAGCATCATGAACGGCGTCACAAGATAACCGCCTTGAACAATTGATGTCGGCTGTTCAGACGAAAGCAGGAACTCTTGACGTGACCAGTATGCATATAGCTCAAATGAAAGATCTCAAAGGTCGTCTATTAATAGAGTCAGCGCTACACTCTGTCCATTGGGAGAGTAGATACAGAACCCAAGCCTTGAGATACCAGGAAGACCAGAAAATCCAAGAAGACCAGACAATTTCTTTATTTGTGAGGGACAGGGGATGCCTCCTACTTGATCCAATAGATCAAGATCTAAATGCAAAGAACAGCAGATGAGCTGCTTGATGCGTATCGAGGGGTTTATCGTTAATAACTATGTCGTCTTCCTTGACATGCACGTTCTTTGAGACAAGCTATTTGTAATGAGTGACAGCAGAAGTCTGAGACTGAGCATTGAAGAGAGAATAATCTTTCAGCATGAGTGTTTAAGCATATCTTCAAGCAGATATATACTAACACATGGCATTGAAGCCGATATTGATCTCGCTAAAAATATCACTCCCTGTAACTAAGACTGCCTAGCTTCTGCAGGTAGTGTACCAGAATAGTAACAATCACCTGGCGAGAGACTAGGAGGTAGTACGTACAGTCAGCAGACAGGATCGACCACCGACCCCTCCCTCTCCATCATACACATGTAGGGATTCCTGTAGTCGAAACCAAAGCGCCAACCAAATGAACAGACACATCCCTCGACCAACGCATGCAATCAGACCTCTACCCCGGTCAAAATTCGTCACAAACTCAAGCTTAGGCAGTAGTAATACAGCTGAGAGCATTTCCTTTTCTTGTCATTCGATAGTCGCTGACAGAGCGGTTAGCTGAGGGGTTGTTGACGCTCATGATCCTGATCCGGGCAGATGATTCGTTTCGAATCCTTCAGATCACGGCGCCAAAACCGCCGCATTGTGTGATATCATGCATAGTGCATATACTTTTGCACGACTCTGTAGTCTGATTCTGCTAAATAATCAGTCAAGTATGGAGAATGGACTGTCTTCTGCGGATCTGCCTCGTAGACTCGAGACTCAGGCAACAGTCACAGACACAGAAACAGCAGTAGAAGAAGGCTTCGAAGCAGGAAAGTCCCATGTAGATGTAGGTGTATCCAAGAATAGCTTTCCTGGCGCTTACCTGGCCTTCCCTATGGAATACTATAGAGACGATGGAGCATCCAAAGTCAAACCACCAGACCCGCACGTCATCCCGGTTCCCCACACAGATGGTGTATCTTTGAGAAGGGAGCCAATCAGTTCAAAGTGCAGTCCCCAAACATCCAGCGGGGAGCCACCGGAAGGATCCACTATGCCCCAGTAGGGCATAGCGCCGGCGCTTAATTGCATCTGCCACGATGCCCCAGTGCTTTGGAACAATATCGCTTGGGTCGCTGATTGGCTCGTCGCTGCCACTGATGCAGGGTGATAAAACACCTGGTGATGTAAAACATGGTGGGTTACAGGGAAGAATTCGAGATGGGAGTAGCTGGTATGGGAGGTCGAATGAGGGGCATGAGGCAAGAGACAGAGAAAGTGTGCTACGAAACTCAAAATGTACTGGAGAATGGAATATGGATATAGAACTGTTGGTGGGTTTGTGTATTAAGAAATACAGGCATATTCGCTTTCTGATTAGTGTGGTGGCTTTACCAAACCTGCGGGACTGTCACATCTACTATCTTATGAAGTCAAGACATCTCGGTGTAGATTGACTGAGGGGCAACGATCAGATTGAATCGGCATGTCCGCACGGCAAGCCTGCATTCGTCATGATGAGTTGAAACTTCCAGCGCGTCTTGTCTTCCAATGATAGCCAATAAGTTGTTGTCTGCGTGGTCACAGTCTGCTTGATGTTGTGATATTGCCGGATAAACCACACCACGAACGAAACGCGCACTAATCCTTACTTGCGGGCCCGGACAAGGATCGTGGAAGATACTCTGGATGAAACCATCTACTAGTCTAGTTTCCAAGCGTCAACTATTGAAATGAAAAGGGGCGCGAGGTCAATCAATGTGATCGCCTGGGGTGTCGTATGAAATAGGAAATTGATGTATCCAGTCTGTAACGGTATGGTAATACGCCATCTCAATTCATACTGTATTTCCAACGTCAACAGCGACGACGCCCAGCGGCCCACCTGGTTGATCGCAACTCTTTTCGCTTCCAACACCAAGCAGACGTAACTAGTCGACCGCACTGATCCCTTGGGCTGCTATGCTGTGCATCCAAGGGACAATGAGCGTCTTGCTACCAACTTGATCGCTGCGACCGACCTCAAGGACAGGCATGGGGATCCGATCTAAGAGTAGCGGGCGTCAAAGGATCCTCGACTCGCCATTGAGATTGTATGTAGCTTGTTGGGCATACGGATCCTGACTCAGGCATCTCCCGCGTGGCAGCGCGTCTGTTTGACCGCCATCTTCTCTTCGCGCCGGGAAGCAGTCCGTGAGCCTCAACCCAGAGCAAGTGCGACTGGCACATCCAATCACCGCTGCTACCATGTCCTTGGGACGTTGGTCGCTACACTCCGTGCGCTGTTGGTCTTTGTTTGACCCGTCCCTCCGAGGAATTTGGGATCTTACCAAGCCCAGTAATGAGCCTCAACGCTGTTGGTTCATATTGACTTCCCCAAAGCCAACATTGCTGTCGCTTGGACTGACACGTGGAACGACTTGGATGCAATGGCGCAGAATGAGAGAACCCGATAGGATTTGTTGAGCAAAAATGAGCCAAAATAACCCGAGATGTGGTCCTGTTGTGAATCAGGCTGGTGGCCCATTCGTTTTCTTGTAGCTCTGAGCTGCCACGATCTGAATGCCGGCTTCGGGATTTGAGCTAGAGTTCAATCCTTGACCAGTGGGCACCAGTGCTTGCGCATGAGATAGTTGTTGTAGATGGCTTCTTTGTGATGTCTTTCAATGTATCCGGCGAATCGGAACGTTCCCAAAACAGAGTTGAGTCATGCACGGTCAGTTGATCGTAGAGTTTCCAAAGACTGGTAACCAAGAACCCATATTGGGCGAAGCTTAGTATGGACCGAAGTATGTCAATACGCCGTTGTGCTGGGCAACAACCAACAGACGTGGTATTGGATCAGACTTCACCAGGTAGAGTTGAACTGCCTGTGAGACTGTAGAACAATATTGTACCCAGGCTAGGAAAAGGACGGAATAGACCGTAAGATTGTGCTCAGCTCCCAGGGCATAACTGACGTATCTTGAATTACTATGTATGCAAAGTAAATGAAGCCCGCACCATGTCAACTAAAAATGAACGTGATGGATCTGCGGCGTACGAATTCGGATGCTATTTGTTTCGCCAGACTCCCCAACACCAAGCCCTGCGCTAATTGACCCGACCATATCCTAAATAAAACCGACTGACCGAAAGCCGTGTATAACAAAGATACTAAGTCTCCTTGTCTTCTTGGCACTTCCTTCGCTTGCCTTTAGGCGGAGCCTCGAGCTGCGTCCTCTTGTAGGTCACCGTTCGAGTCACAACGTGTCTCACACTAACTCGGCCGCTTGCACTCCGCGGCGCCTCAAAATAGCGCAGCTTCCAATCTGACGGAGAAAAAGGCGAGCGAATTGTAGTCGCACTCTGAGGAGACTCCGTTGTCGGTGAATACCTCAATGTCTGCGGTATCCGCAAGCGCCGCAAGGACGTTGGGTCTTTTCTCGGCTGAGATGCCGGTGCTGTGAACGGAGTGGGCGGCGGAAGTGAAGCGGTAGCAGATCGGACGGGGTCATTGAAGACGAAAGAGCCGCTGACTGCACTGGTAGGCTGTGATGTCGGAGAGTGGGCAGGTCTGTCGAAAGGGAACTTCGGGAAGCTCACTCCAGCGCTGGTAGGGCTGGAGAATACGGGGGTGAACGCTTTGAGGAACTCTGTATAAGCCGCAGGAGGCGTGATGGGCGTGGAAATGCCATCCTCTTGCTTCACTCCATCCGATAGACTCGACGAGGATTCATTGTGAAGCTCGGAAGGGAACTTTGTAGTAATTTTGGGTGTCTTTAACGGATGCAGAATCGGTTTTGCGGAAGGCATCTTGAAATTCACCCAGAGGAAACGAACTTTATGGGAGCCTCCTCAGAACAGTCGTCAGCACCGTCGACCGAAGATGCCAGTCCCGCGACTGTTGAGATGTCGTGCGTGGCAGTAGTTATACAATATGATATAGACGGCGCTTAGGACTGGAAGGTACAAAACGCCAGGAGGTTTTGTGGTAGCAATGGCTACAACAAGTCTGATAGGAAAGGGACAGAAAAATGGAAGAGGGAGTCAAGATATGAGCAGCTCTTAGGAAGGTAATGCGCTCCTTTTGATCCCTGACTGCCCGCAACGACAGAGATCGAAGGACGTGGAGTGAGATTTATCTGCAGCCTGGAAACTTGGGCACTCGAATGCCTGTAAGATACGTCGTATTGTTGCGCGAAACCGTAACAGTACGATACAGATACAAACTGCTGTAAAGTTTCCTGTCAGCTATCACGCGCTAAACCCAATCTAGCACTCTCAGCCCGAAGTGAGCGGCTGCGCTGCTGGACAACACAAGACCGCCTCTGCAAGTCAGAAGACGATGCTTTGGGTTGGAAAGCTCTCACTCACTTGTTTGCAGGAGGTAGTGGCGATCTTCCCGAGGAGAGGTCTTTAGACCAAGGTGTGAACGTTTCAATGAGGAGAATGAGGATGAAGTAGAGGGGTTCTTTTCACGAGCTGGCAATTGAGCTTCAAGCACCCTCTCAAGGACAATTGATGGGCAACGATTTTTGTTAGACCAGTATACGCTCCTCCTGCTCTTATATATTCTTCTTTTCGTCATGTTTACGCCATGGGCATGTGTTGTTCAACCCTTCCCAGCTGAATGAATCCTTCGCATTGTCGCGCGCTACCAGAATCAACCCTCTAAAACCTCCTCGCGCTGTTGACCCCCTGCGAACATAAGCATACTACTAACCTAGAGACGCTTAACTCACTCTACTCAAAAGCCACTTTGGGTTTGCCCTCCTATTGCCATCCCTGGTTCGCTCGGCGTCAACGCACGCGGGGTCTGCTGGCGGCTCGCCCACGGAAATTGCCCCTCCTTGAATCAGCAAAGTCGCTTAACGCACATTTAGCTGACAGGCTGGTTTGAACCTCCGAGTTAGATTCCTCTTTCCCATCAACTTCTCCCTAATGATTCCGTAACTAGCAGTCTGCTCCGGGACTTGCGACCCTTGTCGTTCCACCCCTACGCAGGAAAATACAGCGGCTGCATGTATGGCCGGCGCTTCCGAGATTCTTCAACAACCCCTCATTCTCATGAGCGTGCAGAATTGCAGACAGCTTCGCTTGTTGCCATGGAGAAATCTGCAAAAGACGCCGTTTGCAACAGATCTTCGTCGGTTCTTCTGCACTGCTACGTCTTGGCGGACTGATGAGGGTTTCGCACTAATTCTTGCAGAATCGCGTCGATTCGACAGCTTGCTTCTGGAATCCTGGTCCTCTTCATCTCCCGACTGATACTTCAGGCTGAACGTTGACGCTTGAGTATGGAGTTCTCGAGGTTGCGACGACATGGTTGGATCACAGTTGATCGTCCCGTCTACGCGCACTGCAGTCACGAAATTTACAGATGGATGGACGAGCAGGCGCTGAGAAGACAGGCTTCCTAGCATGAATCTTGAACCTGATAGACACAGATGCTGACCAAGCCCAGCCCGCTTGGGAACGCACCCAAGTAACTTAGGTTAATGCGACGCGGTTATCGATCTGCCTATCTATCTAGTTCGGCCCGTCATGTATCAACAACATTTCCTATCAAACAAGTCACTCTGATGTCTCCTTGCAACGAGGCTCAGGACAGCCCTTCCTTGGTGTGAGAGCAGAGCCAAATGTCTCGGTAACTGCTCACACCAATTCAATTTCAGAGGTACTTTCGGTGGAATAGCTGAACTGGTGCTTTCTAGCGCTCGGGGCGATGTCAGGATTGAATCGGATAACTGACCACACTGCCCTTCAAATGAGAGCCTCTCTCAGCTGGACAGACCAGGAAAATCATACAGGTCTTGATCTGAAGGCAGCAGTAAACCTGAGCTGACTTTATCGAGCTTCGATGGAAATGTGGAGGTATTACAGCGATGCAAGGACACGATGGGAAAGCTCTTGAGTAGTCAAATGGTAGTGAGATGTCGACCCGGATCTTTGCACGCAGACCTGTTATTATTCCATCAGTCAGTTAAAAAGCCATTTAAGCAAAAGGTCGAATCAATGGAGGCGTCAGTCACGGCGAAGAAATCCAGTACCCTTCCATGATGGGACAGTGTAGTATTACAACAGGTCGCTCGAAAGGAAAACTCATGGACTTCTTGGGTATATCTTAGAGTCAATCTATCGCTATCCACCAAGAGCGCCCTCTATTATCTCAAAACAAAGAGCTAAGATCATGGGGAAAGTCGCTACTCTTTTATCTTGACCATGACTCTACCGATAGCCGGAAAACATCGAGGCGAATGTCTTCCAAACCGGTTCCCTATGGTCAGTTGCCTAGTTTCCACGACTTCTATATCTTTTGCGACTAATATCTTCCCCCCGTCCTCCTACACGCTGTTATCGGTCTCACCGCCGTCTGGTACTACATTTTCCGCGAAGACTGTGCCCTGAATCACCTACCAATGTTTGTGTCATGCTTGCCCTAGACTGTCATTAAAAGCAAGCCTCTGGCAATCGCGCTCCTATTAATGTGTGTTAGGCTATATTCATTGCACTACTCCTCATACTAGCATACTGTAGAACACAAGCATTGCAGCTGAGGGAGGCAGGTGCGGATGGTGACATTTGAGCTTTCCCCAAACTGCTCTTTCCATAACTGTTCATCCCAGAGGTCAATAACAGCTGTTTCTGAAGTTTTCTAACTTTCTTAGCATCACCATCACCATCACCATCATCATAATCATAATCACCATCACAACTACGAACTACTACACAATGCCCTGGGCGTGGGCGCAAAACGCCGTGCTGATCATCGAGTTGGTGGGTGCGGGGGTCATCCTCCTGCACTTCGGGGTGAAGAGGGGGAGGGCAGCGAGGGAGACCTGGGATAGGGAGGAGGGCAAGCCTGTGCTGCTGCGACTGAGGAGCGCGGCGTGGACGTTCGTCCAGACAGTCGCCAGCCTCGATGCGGCCCGGGAGGGGGCAGGGGCAAGGTGGGGGAGATGGGGCGGGGGCAGAGGGGGAAGCGGAGGCAGCGGGGGCAGCGGGGCCATCGGGGTGTAGACGGGGTTGAGAGAGGAAGAGGAGGGGAGAGGGGGGAGGGGGGAGGGGGTCGGACCAGTCCACCGGTGCCTTGGGGGGGCACCGGTGCCTCGACTGGGGGGCCCCACACCAGCGTCGAGTTCACACTTCTGCGCAGTGCTGGTGACGAGTACCTGTTCGCTGGGGAACAGAGAAACCAAGATGAACTCACAAACAACAAGCAACTTCATGGATAAAGCAGTCATTGGACCCGCCACATACAAAACACATGCATTGCTTCTCAACCCAAGGACCCGATTTTCTCGATGCAGAACAGTCACCGAGATAGAGAATGCGAGCTTCGACTCCCTGAAGCATACGACGTTCTGCTGTGTCTCTATTGAGCTGCCATTCGAATTTCCCTTCTGGACTGCGGATTCGACTGAAACGAGTTGCCGCCAGTTTCTACCCTTGCAAAGCTGTATGAAGAACCATCAGCCTTTTTTCCAACTCGGAGAATAAAACAATCGTCCATGCCTTCACGAACCCGAGGAGAAATCAATCGAGCCCATTGCCACCATCCAAAGTCAGAAACCTCCAGGTGCCGTTGAAAATCAGATCTGCTATAGAGCTTTGGCGATACCTCACAATTCGACCACCACAATCCGTACACCTAGGATGTCATTAGCCCAGACCGGTGGCCGCGATCCAGTATTATGTTATTCGCGAAGACTGTGTTCCTAATGAACTGCTTCGTACCATGTCAACGCTTGCGCCATGCTTGCTGTGGACTGGCATCAAAAGCGATCCCTTGACAGGCGCGCACCTGTCAAGGTGTGTCAGGCTATACTCATCGCGCTACTCATCGCACTAGCAAGTCGGAATCTTCGGCGTGCATGTCTTGCGACATCTGAATAATACGTCGATTATCTTGCATAGTCACGGGGTGATGAGTCGGATATATTTCCGCAAGCAAAGCCACTATCCAATATTTCCAAATGTCTCGTTCCCTTCATATTGAAATGGGATTCTTCTGCATTGAGCCTCTCTGGCAATGCAACCGAATCAACACGACGATGGGAGATTGAAAAACATGTAGCCCCCACTTATGTACCTAAGAAGAATTAGCCATTGTTTGGTTTACGGTTCAAGACAGGATCATCTTATTTGATATGTCGATGGTTGGACCCGTAGGTTGATCGCTTGTAGAATAAGAAAGGAAGCTGCGGGAGGCTTCTTGCGCGCAGTTGATCCGTTCACTGCAAGACTGTCACGGTGGTAAAACCCCTGAATAACATATTGAGAACGTTCTCCTACTGGAATTAAGAAGGGTGAACCTAAGAACTAAAAGAGCTAGATACTAATAGTAATAGAAGAAGGTAAGGAAATCTATGACCATGAAGCTTGACCAAAGTATGCAGATGATGAGAAAGCGGTAGCCATTTATGCCTCAGCTCACCCATAGTAAATGCTACCTTATAGCTATTCTGTCCAGGCTTCCTGAGGCTATCTAAGTGTTGTTTGGATTACCTAAGTAGTTCCTAAGGCCTCATTTATTCAATACTGGTTTGAATCCTCTGATTGCGTCTAAAAGACCCTCGAATCCTCGCACTGATTCTGTGAAACCTGAGATGTTCACCCCTCCTTAAGGTTTTCCTAGGGAAAATGTTTTTAGTATGATTTCTACTCAAAAACCTCCTAATATCTACGTAATCAGACACTGAGCAAGACGTAATACACCATGATGACCATGGAATGGAATGGGTTTAGGTACTTAAGGTCAGCGCAACCTCCCATTGTGTTGACCAGTTCTCAACCTGTACTTGCTACTATGCTTATCCTGCAATATGCCTCTGATCGGTTACAAGAGACAGCACTTCAAAACTTTAATGAAAATTGCCAGTTCAGTACAACTGGACACAGTACGAACCCTTAATGCGCAAAGTCCAGCATCTCTCTACTGTCTCCCTGTTGAGTTGATCTGCCACATCTGTCAATATCTTCCTATCGCTGAGACCTTCTGTCTGATGATCAGCTGTGCTCGCTTCTGGTATGCAAGAACCGGTATTCAAGCTTTTGTCCGTGTGCAACAGAAGTTGGATGCAACAGCCTGCAATAGCTGGTGGCTTACTGAAGCACGTTTTCATATCCTCCGCCTGATGGAATTTGATAAACGTTTTGGGAAAGGCATCAGGTCTTTTTGTTGCTGGGCGTGTATGGAGACTCACAGAAAATCATATTTTTGGCCCTCGCAGGCGCAGAGACCTGTCAATTTGAAGTTCTCAATTGAAGAACAAAGGGTAAACTGCTCAGATGCTGTTACCCGCGTCTGCGGATATCGACGCAGGAGTATCTGGGTTGGCATGTGCCATGAAATGACATTTGTTGAGCTCCGGAATCTAGTGCGTGGAATGGAGACTTGCAAAGAGAAAGTTGGCTCATCTATTATGATCCCTGCTGGCGGCTGCTTTTCAGAGCATGTGGAGTTGAATCTAAAGACCATGCATATCTTATCCCGGTTCTACCTTGGCAGACTCTCAGATCTTGGGCCGGTTGGCTTTAAACATCTATGTCGGAATGCAGGGCTTCCAATATGTCCACACTGGAGAACTCATACGCTTGCAAAGTATTTCTTCCGACCTATGAGTCCAGGTAGTGTCCGTCAATGCCTTTACTGTGGGGCAGAATTCTATGTGACAATCACCTCCGATGGATTGATTGAGCTCCATATCTCTCGCTATGTTGGCAACCTTGCATCAGGGCGTTCTCCCGTATGGCTTACGGCATCATATGGATCTGTCGACCATGCCTTCCTTGATCATTGCCGGGCATTTGCAGACTGGTTGGACAGCATGTATAATCCACAAACTGGTGCAGTGTATAACGGAGGCCAATTTGAGATATTCACGCCAGCTCGAAAACCAAGGTACAGCTTCCGTTCGACTGAACCATAGCCAAGATGGATACAACCGAGGATGCAGGAACCGGTCTGGATGACGACAAGTGAGCTGAGCTGGGATACTCAACATAGGAATCAGTGTTAGGAGATTCTTGGTTTTTAACCTTAATGGGATTTGCTGTTCTTCATTTTGAACTCTGTACAAGCACTGGTCTCAAACAACGAATCGTCAAGGCAAGCTAGCGAGGAAACAATAGTTCTGAATATTAGCTCGGGTTGAGCAAGATGACGGAGCCAGCGTACGTACCATTGATCTCGTTCTTCTAGCCTGGGGAATTTCGGGCCATTTCTCTGTTATTTAGCTTATCTTGGTTTGTTGGGATAAATAAGCGCCAGGTGTTCCAGATCATTCATGTTACTCTATTAGATGGACAGATGCTCTACCTTTTGATGTGACAACCATATTCCTATCAATCTGATAGATAGCGCTCTGTCAGACGAGGCGTAAACTGCTGTGGTCTTTTGAGTAGGGGAAGTGGTCGGGGATATAGTGACATTGCATACAAACATAACATCAATCACTCATAAAGCAAAGCATCAAAACAACAGAATCATATCCCCACTGGATATCATTCACAAAGCAGAAAATCAGCAACACCAATGACTCCACAACCATTTCCATGTGAGAGGAAATGACTGCATATGAGTTTGCGCCTTGAGAATTAACCCCGCAAGTCCTTTGCCAACCTCGCCAGAAAAAAGTGCTTGTCATGTCCCTCACTGTCCTGCAGGATATAACTCGACAGCACCAGGAAAGAGTGGAATAGGAGACTCTGTGTGACGAACAGAATGGAACGCCGATGTTGCTTCGGATTCTCTCGGAATCGTGAGCACGATCGGTTACCCGACTGGAACGTCGTGTCGATGTGCCGCGCGTGGTCCGCAGAATCTCCAAGTTGGTAGTCAAGTGGCACGAGTCCCGTCAAGGGATTCTCGGCCGTCATGAGACTCAATCTCGTGTGAGAACGGAAAAGAAACGCAAGGAAACACACATCTTCCAATTCAGATCAGCAGATAGTGCCAGCCATTCCGCTGCATCACGTCCCGCCAGTGGACCTGTTGTTTCTTGATCTCTCTCATGCCTGACCCTGTGCCGTTGCTCTCTGGAGATGCAGACCTCTCGATCTTGGGCACGGGACTGCCCGACGATGCTGAAGATGACGACGTTTCCTCTGGCGTATAGTAGCCGTCGGTCGGCTCGTCGGTAAGTCGCCAGACCTCCTGCAGTAGTCGATACATGCGGCCAAAGCTGCCCAGGTCGGCGTGATCGCCTAGCAGGGAGGCGCGCTCGGCCAGCACAGCTCGGAAATGGCTTGTCGGCGCAGAGAATGCACCCGTGATCAACAGGGGCCAGACAAGGGAGCGGTCGAAGCCATTGGGGCCGGTGGGGATATAGTTCAAGGTGTTTGCGACTGCTGCAACCAAGTTGAGGTTACTTGGCTGGTTGCGGTCAAAGCCGGGGACCAGGCTGCAGAGATAGATTCTGGCCGCGATGCGGAAGACCGTCGTCATGTTCTTCGTCAGAACCTCGGGGCGAATGGCTCCTGTAGCGGGTGAAAACGGATGCTCCAGGGTTTGATCCACCGGTTCGGTAAACTCCAGTTGTCGTCCGAGAGCGGACACATGCGAACACACGGCCATTGCGTCTACGCGACCTTCGGTCTTCAACGCGTCCAGACAGGTGATCTCCGAGATGAGGTACATGACACGGTCGTCGCAGCCCATGAGCTCCCTCAGACCAGATGACGAGCCACTAAGATGCTTGGCACGATAGGTGTGGGCGAATTGGGGTGTCCTCCCTTGCATTGTGGAACCCAGGATATCGATCCACGATGTTAGTGTCATGCTGAAAGGAGGCAGTAAGTACGGGTTTCCATCAGGGACCGCTGTCGGGAGACCGAGCCTGTTGACCAGATTGGACGCGGCTTGAAAGTGGTCGAACCAAGGGATGTCAGGAAGATAGTCATCCGCGGGACCGACGGAACAGTGGAAGAAAATCATAGCAAGCGTGGCATCCAGGATCTCTTCATGGTTCACGTCCTCGCCGAGAGCCTGACATAGTTGAGAGACAGCTTCGAACCGGTGGCGCATGATGTCATGATCAATCTGCTCTCCGACGAATCCTTCGGTGGTCTTGAGGTGGATGGCGGCAACGCTGAGACAGCAGTGAAGGTAGCACTTATTGGTTTCCAACGCCTGCAGGATAGCCTGGGCCCGTGTGTGGCCCCGTTGATGCGCCTCTAGAACCGGAAAGATGATGCGCAAGACATTGTGGATGAAGTGGTCGAGTAGTGGACGATCATGGTCACTGACTGGAATATTTGACTGTAAAGTAGTGTACGTCTGCCCAATACTCTGCTCACAAATCGCCGGGTCAATACCTGACACATTCGGTGCTTGAGAGAAATATTCATCTTGTAACCACTCCTCGCCGGGGAATGTGGGAAGGGGCGCGCTTAACTGCGGAGCGGTAAAGGTGCTAAAGGTCGAGATCGAGGAATCATGGCGCAAGGGGACGTCATTGATAAAAGTCTGTCGTTCTGTCTTGACATCGATCTCGTATGGAGCGTAAGGTGCATACATCGTCTGGTTCAGACCGGGCGTCGGCAGATGTGATGAAAAGAGATCGTATGTCTCGGTGTAACCCGGGCGATTGAATTCGAATACCGGTGACAGGGGCGATGTGGCAGCCATATTGCGACTGCGAGCTAACGGGTCTATTGTAGCCCTACTGTTAGAGCAAAGACAAGTAAGTTGAGTGAAGGTTCAGTAGTCCTACCAGTCGCGGACCCATTACGCTCATTCATCTTCGTCTGCTTGATCTTATTCTTGATGCGCTCCTTTTGAAGCCTTCGCTGTTCGGCATTTCCCCACCAGATCGGACGCTTATATTCACATTTCACGCAGAGATTGCTGCAAGCACCGCAGGCTGGGTGCTTTTCATCACACTTCTTCCTGCGCAGTCGACATGTGAAACAGCCTAGACTCGTTAATAAGACGATCCGACCAGATAAAAACTGAAAAGATGATGCCAATGGAGCAACCAACCAGATCGAGAGCGCTTGTGCAGCTTGGCGGTCTTCTCTGGCGTCCCTACGGACACTCCTTCAGCGGGCGAGGGCGATTGGGTGGAATCGACCCTCTTGACGGCGTTCGAGGCCGAGGACTTCTTCCTTGACGCTACAGGCATTGTGCTAGCAGAGTTGTAGAAACACGTCTTTATCGGTATCGGTCGAAGTCGTTTGGTGCCGGTGAATGACGACGGGAATGACAGGACACAGGTCGCCTGGAGCTCTTGCTTGTCACACCGAGTATTAAGTCGCAAAGCTGAACCAGCAGCCTTTGCTATATCTATATTAGAGATAAGAAAAGAAAGGCGCGGCTATGCAAAGGACAAGGCGATGGTATAACTCTGACAAGGTAACAAGTAAACATCGGCCGTGACTCCGTGGGATTGATGAACCTTTAAAAGCAAAGTTCACACCCGACAGGCACGCCATGATGTTTCTATTTTGGAACGAGATAGCCGAGAGAGAGGACGGACTTGCAGTGGTGAACGCCTCGAGCGKGGGATGGCAGGGGAGATCATCTCTGGCGTAGTACACTAGCAGGGGGCATAAGCAAAACTAGCGGGAGAATTCCCTGCGCTGATAGTAAAGTGTTGGTCTGCGAAGTTAGCCAGAGCTAATTTTGGATAATTGTGATCATTCTGGGCATTTGCTGCCTCCAAATTGGCGCCCATGCACTGGATGATGCGGAGATGATTGGACTCTTCTTCCATGGCTGGGAAATTGATTGGATTTAGACTCATCTCAAGGTCTGTGCCCAACGAATCCATGCAGATATTGAGGGAAATTGGTGCAGCCATTATGCATGTTAATATGATAGTTTCCTTGATTCTTTGTTCATGATACAATGTCATTTTTTGGGTGAGAGATAACTTCGTATAGCGAAGGATGGCAGAATCAAAGCAGACTGTATGTCGACATTCTACTGTAGGCTCCTCCTGGTTGACACCACCAACCGGGAAGTGCTTCGCTAGCAATGACCAGCAGAAAGCAGAGTTATCGTCCTGTAGAAAAAGTATGACAAATTGCTCGTGATCTCGCTGATAATAAAACTCTATAGCCAATGAGACTCATAGCTCATCTGTTCTCGAGAAGTGGAATTAGCTCTAAACTTCAATCGCTTACCGGATATGGAAAGTGTAATAACAATCACGGTGTAGCATGAAAAGGAGACAACGCATATTGAGTCCAATCGTAGCATCCAGTGACGTCTTCCTGAATCCTGGGGACCTCCAGAGTTCAGAGGGGAAACCAGAGAGTGTTGGCAGAGCCAGCAGTCAAATTGACAAGCACCAATCGATGTCTCTTGACGAGAAGCCTAGAACACTAACAATGCACCATGAGACCAGGATGATTGCCTTAGTCCCACCAATCAGATACACAAACGGAGCGGACGAAATCAACAGAAAGTCGGGAAACACAGAATGACCAGAAAGGCTTTGCGGGGCTAACCTTAGCGGGATGAGCCAAGCTTCCTTGTACAACAGGTGATTGGCTAGAGGCTTCTATATTGGTGGACGCCATCGAGGGTTCAGCAGGATCGTGTTGTGCAGAGCGGGAAACCCGCAGCCAACCGTGCTGGGTGGATCGAGTCAGTGCTACACCAACAGAGTTTTGCCAAGATACTAATTTGTGATGAATCTGATGGTTGATAAAGTTGACTGACAGACCAACATGTAAAGTTGCCTTAATTAGTAACATTTAGCCGCCAAGCAGAAAGCCAAATGCCTGTTAATCTGTCAACCACTTGCTAATTTGTCCCATATCAGCTATCTTCGCAGAGATTACTATTAATAATTTTCCCACTGTTCCATGTTATTTCACAGTAATTAGTTGGGATTTCCTACACCCCATGTTCTTAGGTGATGATGGTTGGCTAATCCCGGAGTCTATCCGATGCGCATCTGTCAGTCAGGGAACTTTAGCTGTGGCTGGTCTGCACACTAGATCTCGAGTCACACCGTCACTCTTCGAGTCTTCGGAGTACTCCACAAACAATCCGCTTGTTTGTATAGAGCCCGGTGTATGTGAACCGACTTCTCTTCCCACTTCAACATTCTCGTAGCTTGAGTTACATACTCTTTAGGATTCAATACATTTCATTATCTTCCTCTCCCCTTTTACCACCTCCAAGAAGTCAAGTTAGTCAACATTCAAATATCATCCTTCCCACTGGCCCCCCGTCGTCACCTGCCCGTGAAGTTTCTTATCACATTCCTGCAGCTGCAGATCTAATTGGAGTGATTTAGTGCAATAATTGTCGGCGATAATTAGCGTCAAGGCCAATCGTAGACTGGAGTGGCCGATCACGGTCCTGCAGGATCCCCTGTCAGTAGCACATGCCAAGATGTGACAAATACCTTACGGAGTTACATATGGGAAGTACACTACCTAAATCGGTATAAGCCCATCAGAAAAGGACTGCCCGTCCTATCTCTGGTACTACGATCATCGCGACTTGCTCTGTCAAACACAAATCAATATGACAGTATCTTATGAGCATTTGGCTGTCTTTGCGACCAACCGTTAATCCAACATAGTTGAGTCCAACGACGGATTTATTAATCCATTATGTGACAATGTGACAATAGCACCATCGAATGTCAGCGCTAACCACTCCCCGCAGCTTAACTTTCGAAAGCTGGGAGTAGATGCTTAGTTACTCTGGGCCAGTTCCCCGTGTTGAAATCGGAGCCCATGTTCTCTCCTCAATGCAGCTAATTAATCAGGCTTATTGTTATTTATAGCGAAATTATTCCTGGAAGAGGAATTTACTGCTCAACCCTTCCTTCTGCCCATTTGGGTATGCACGCTCAGATCTATTCCCCTCATTGTGGGCGGATACCACCTGACGATGTACTCAACGGTTATCACATCAACTCTTCCAGCTCTGGGTTCAATGTAGAGGATAGAGCCAAAGTGCTGGTCTCCTTCACTTGTCTTCCAAATAGTCTACGAAGCACACTGTGTGTTCTCCTTGCGTTGAAAGAGTTGCGGCGTACAGAACATCTTGAGATAACTCTGTATATACTTTCATATTCTTACTTTCCGGGTGAATCAGCCTATTTCTCATCATCATACACTGGAGAGCGATCATAGCTCGAAACCTTAAGCGGCATGAACTGTCGCTGCAGTAAAGACCTTGCATTGATAGTCTGCCATGTGCTCTCAACGTCCTTCGCCCTAGACTCTGAGAGGACCCTTCTAGAAATCCGGATCTTCGTCTTGCCTTCGTCGCTAAGCGCCAGCTGTAAACTTAACTCTCGCTCTATGATTTCGTCTTAAGCCACGAGCAATTCCCCTCGAATCCTTAAGCGCCCACAATATCTGTGAGTTTCAGCCTCGACTTATCCAAAATAGAAGTAAATACTGCTTCTCTTGTCTCAAGAGCCGAGCCTCACACTTGAGTCATTGGCGATGCATCCCTATCGTTCGAAGCATGATCTGGCCTGGGTGTATGCAATGACGTGGTATCTAAACATATCTCAAGGCAGACTTGCCTCAGCCTGCTATCACGTTGTGTCTGCATGGCGAAGCCCCGGTTAGTGTCAAAGGCAGTTGCGTGTGGATCATCTCAGGCACTCTCTCGACTCTGTCATAGGTTAAGTGCGCCTGAGCTTTGTATGACGCTCTTTTTGTTCTTTCCAAATCTGCATGAAGGTGACATGGGCGAGTCTCAGGACAAGAGACCCAGAGGGCCAGTCACACGTATTGTGGAAGAGTAAGAGTCTTTGTAGATACTAGAGGCATTGTCCTGTCCGTGCTTAAGCTTGTAGCCTTCATAGCCGATTATGTGTCCGGATGTCAAAGTGATCAGTATGCTCGTAAATACATGGCAGCACTGAAACAAGTTGATGTGGATCGAGCAAAATATATAATGACGTAAGACCGGCGGGATGTAGTCAATTCTCAAGATAAAAGTCTCAAATGCATTGTTTCGAATTCCGCTATAATTGCTGAAGAGGTCAGTAGTTCTCTGTGTAGGTGATGTAAAACCATGTTTGATGTAGAAAGGCATGTTGATAACAACATGGTGCGAGCTTGGGGCTCACACATGCAGCATGTTTAAGCTTACCGTCAATCGCGGCTGATCTCTCCGCTTCTCGATGATTCCTACTTCCGGCAATCCAGCATTATCTTCCGCGAGACTCCCGCCATCACTCCTCTCATCCGAGCCCAGGATCTGCGATAGCATGTATCTGTGGTCGCCATGTTACGTTCACCGATAGCCCGTGCTATATTCCGCAGCGCTACAGCGCGATCAACAATCCCGTCTTCGTCGCAGTCGGCCTCGCGTTTTGCGGTCCCTATCCTCGATTCTTCCTACTTCTCCGGCCAAACATTCCGATACCCACGTTTTCCTTCTGCAACACTTGGACTCACCTCAAGGACCTTCAAACCTTCTTCGCAGACTTTTCGCTTTCCCAACAGATACCTCTCCTCGTCGGCCAGGCTATCCTACAGATACGGCGGTGATAGATATCGGCGATTTGATGGCCTCAGTCGCGGAACGCTTTTTCAGCGATTGTTGACAAATGCGAGGCCATACCACTTTGTCATAATTGGCGTAGTGATCGGCGGTATCTATACCAGCAATGTCGAAACGGTGGAGGTGAGCTTGCTCTTTTGTCTTCGATAACCAGTCCAGTGTGATTTCTGAGGATACTTGGAGGATGGAAATTGAATGGCGCCCAATCATTCGTTGTCTAGTACCTCATTTCTGACGCCTTTTCTCCCAGATGACCGGCCGCCGACGATTCAACTGTGTCTCCTCTCAGCAGGAACTAAAAATGGGTCAACAGAGCTATGAAGAGGTTTTGAGGTCAACACGCGGGAAGATTCTCCCCGAGAATCATCCGCTGACCATCATGGTAAACCGCGTGCTCCGCAGACTGATACCGCAAGCGCCAATTGAAGGCGCAGATTGGAGAGTTCATGTCATCAAAGATGACGGCATGGTCAATGCTTTTGTTTTGCCTGGGTATGCATGCCCTTCAACATCACGGCCTGTTGTCGTATGCCACTGACCCTACACACAGTGGGAAAGTATTTGTCTATACAGGCATCCTGCCAATTTGCAAAGACGAGGACGGGCTTGCAGCTGTGTTGGGCCACGAAATTGCTCACGTTGTCGCGCATCACCCAGCAGAACGCATGAGCAACAACATCCTGACAGTTGGAGCAGTATTAATTATCTCCCTGCTATTTGACATTTCAGGCCAGATTCCTTCGCTACTGCTCAACTTAATGTACAGCTTGCCTAATTCGAGGACACAAGAGGTAAGACTTGCTTCCCTGCCCCGCAGATGACCCGTACGCTGACTACTTTCTAGGCTGAGGCAGACAATATTGGCTTGAGTATGGTTATCAATGATGAAAGATTGTGTATTTAATGCTAATCTGGACTAGTGATGATGTCAAAAGCTTGCTTCGATCCTGAGGCCGCTGTCGGACTGTAAGTCATTACCCCTGGTCCACTGCATTTATGACAGAAGTATTGTCGACTTTGATATGCGCGGCTCACATATCTTCACAGTTGGGCGCGTATGCAGAAAGCAGAGCAGGAGACACCGCCTCAATTTCTGTCAACACACCCTTCGGTAATACTCAACCCGCCATGAGTCTTGCAGTACCGTGATCTGACCTTTCTAACAGAGCTACAACCGCATGGAATCAATCCGTGGATGGTAAGACCTCCGACTTCCACCGTCCTCTGAGGTGTGCTGACGAAGTTCTAGGCTAGGGAAGGCCGAGGAAATCTATGAAGATAGTGGATGTAGTACCCTGGGAAACTACAGTAAGTGCTCCTAACAAACCAGTCGCTCATCCTGGGGCTTGACTAAACAATAATCTTCAGTGCCAGGATTTCGCCAAGCTTCAAACGACTTCTACAGATGGTGAGCGATTGTTACTGGGATGACCTGGGTTGTATTATAGGATATAATCTTACGTATAATTATGAAATCACGACTCATGCAAATTAATTATAATTGCCAGGATAAGTCATCTGTATGAGTCCAAGTATTATTGTATGTCCCAAAAAGGAAATGCCCTAGCCCCTCCAGATGCAAACCAGCCAAACACCCGCCGCCGCCTGACCGTCTCGAAAGCTCCATCAAAAATTCCCGGAGCAGCACGTAGCTTGTGTGATAGCACTGTCTTGCTTTCTTCTTCCTCTTCCAGTTTTCTGTCTGCTTCGAGGGGAAGCTTTCTTCAAAATGTCGTTGTCTATGCCTGGTCCCAGCCAGGCGGGTCTTTTCAAGCCTGGATACCAGAGGTAAGCGAGTTCTAATTGTGGAAAGTCCCGCTCAGCGCACTCCGCGTCGAGTTGAGGAGATGAGATCCAGCAACGCATTCAAGCTCTCAGAGATAGTCAATATAACTGACACCGCGATTGATGCAGTCACGATGCTGAAGACGGCGCCGTCATTCGCAATATCGAGGCCTGCCAGGCGATTTCCAAGACCGTCCAAACATCGCTCGGTCCTTATGGCCGCAATAAGATCGTCATCAACCACCTGCAGAAGATGGTACTTACGTCGGACGCCGCTACTATTCTCCGCGAGCTGGATATCGTGCACCCGGCTGCCAAGTTGCTTGTCATGGCGAGTCAGCAGCAGGATGCGGAGATGGGTGATGGTACTAACATGGTCATTATTCTGGCGGGAGAGCTGTTGAAGAAGGCCGAGGAACTGTTACGGATGGGCTTGAAGACGAGTGATATTACTCAGGGATACGAAAAKGCACAGAATTATGCTCTCAAGGTACTAGAGGGTGAGTTATTTGGTCATGCACTTTCTCACCGCGTTTTTCAGGGGCTATCCAATATGCCTCGCTTCTGAGCGCATTTTCTTCATGTACTGACCGATGTTGTGTTGATAGACCTCGAAGTCGATCGCTTGAAGGAACTACGCTCTCACGCAGAACTCTGCAAGGCTCTTCGTACGGTCATCGCCAGCAAGCAGTCCGGAACAGAGGATCTCTTGGCATCGTTAGTTGCGGAGGCTGTCCTCGCTGTTCTGCCGAAGAATCCTGTCAATTTCAATGTCGACAATGTTCGCGTCGTCAAGATCATGGGTGGTAGCTTGGAACAGTCTCGTGTGATTAAGGGTATGGTCTTTGGGCGGGAGCCTGAGGGTACCATCAAGAAGGCCCGCAAGGCAAAGGTTGGAGTTTTCAGCTGTCCTATCGATATTTCTCAGACCGAAACCAAGGGCACCGTGCTCTTGAAGAATGCCCAGGAGATGCTTAACTTCTCAAAGGGAGAGGAGGAGCACCTGGAGGCAGCCATCAAGGAGCTTTACGACTCCGGACTTCGTGTTGTCGTTGCTGGCTCGTCCGTCGGTGACTTGGCTCTGCACTATCTCAACCGATTCAACATTCTTGTCATCAAGATCCTTTCCAAATTCGAGCTTCGCCGTCTCTGCCGTGTCGTTGGCGCTACGCCCCTGGCTCGTCTTGGCGCTCCTATGCCCGATGAGATGGGTAGCGTTGATGTTGTCGAGACCACTGAGATTGGTGGTGACCGTGTGACCGTTTTCCGTCAGGAAGAAGCCAACGCTGTAACGCGTACTGCCACCATTGTCCTGCGAGGAGCGACTCAGAACCACCTAGACGACGTCGAGCGTGCTATTGATGACGGCGTCAATGCCGTCAAGGCTATCACGAAAGATCCTCGACTTGTTCCTGGCGCTGGCGCTACTGAGATTCAGCTTGTGGAGAAGATCTCGGCTTTCGCTGACAAGACCCCTGGTTTGCCCCAGTATGCCATTCGCAAATACGCCGAGGCTTTCGAGGTCATTCCTCGTACTCTCGCGGAGTCCGCTGGCTTAGACGCCACGGAGGTTCTCTCACGTCTCTATACAGCACACCACCGCACGGCCAAGGCCTCCGAGTCGGAGGAGTCCGAAGAGGGCAGCTCTGAGGAGGAAGAGCCCTACTGGACTACAGGTGTTGATCTGGAGGCTGGTTCTTCGACCGGTACCTTGGATGCGGTTGATGAAAGTATTCTGGATCTCCTGGCATCGAAGAGCTGGGCCATCCGCCTGGCCAGCGAGTCCGCTCGGACAGTCCTCAGTGTTGATCAAATTATTGTCGCCCGACAGGCGGGTGGTCCAAAGCCTCCAGGCCCTAACCCCAACTGGGACGAAGATTAAATGTTTTTAGCTATGACGAAATCTTTATAGTATGGGGGCACAATGCAGGATGCCATTAGAGGCATGATCTTACGAAAAGTCTATTGACTGGAAATTTGAGACAATATGTATAAGACATGCAACTATAGCGGTAATACTATCTATGACTCTCAACCCAGTGCGACTGGTAGTAATAACACTCAATCCTCGTTCACAATCGCTATATATTGTCAATGAATAAATCTGGCGCGCCGGAAGTATGGTGACCTTGACGGATGTGATGTCACGTGACGAATTGGATTTTCCGGGCCGAAGCTCGACTTTCTTTTTCATGAGTATCGGTTGATCGCGTTGTCGAGGCCCTTCATCGTTCCTGTCCCACACCCTCCCTCCGTCTTTCCAGTTACGACCGTCAATTCCGCTGTTCAACATGTCGCTCACTTCGCAGGCCGCAGCTCGCTGCTGCAGACAGCTCGTCCGCCCCTCCGTTCGCATCTCTTCCACCACATATCTGAGCCAGCGGACACCCAGCCGGAGGTGGAACTCGACAGAGGCGCAGGCTGCTGCTCCTGCCAATCCTAAGATCACCCAGATTGTTGATCAGATCAGCCAATTGACGCTTCTGGAGACGGCGGATCTCGTTGCCAGCTTGAAGGTCGGTTTTCTTCGTCTCCTAGGTGGTATCGCAATTCGGTCCACCATTTGGCTTCTGTTGTATCTCACAACGCTTGATGAGGGTTGACTACTCTGCTGTATCATTTTCATACTGACATTTGTATTTTGTACAGTCTCGCCTGAATATCCCCGACCTCCCCGTTGGAGGCTTCGCCGTTGCTGCCCCCGGTGGTGGTGCTGCCGCTCCCGCCGCTGCTGAGGAAGAAGAGGCTGCTCCTGCCGCGCAGGAGAAGACTCTGTTCAACCTGAAGCTTGAGACAGTGGATGCTGCCTCCAAGGCTAAGGTCATCAAGGAGATCAAGGGTCTGCTCGGCCTTTCCCTCGTCGACAGCAAGAAGTTCGTTGAATCGGTACCCAAGCTCATGAAGGAGTCCGTGCCCAAGGAGGAGGCGGAGAAGATCATCGAGACCCTGAAGGCTGTGGGTGCCAAGGTTGTCATGGAGTAAAAAAGGGCGCGATGATTTTATCAATTGGTCATCCTCTTTTTGTGTCTGCTGAATGAGCGATGAGGGCTTGTATGGATCTGTACGCTGTGGGTTGGACTGCATCATCCTGCCGGAGTTTTATGTCTTGCACCGCCTCTTCTTTATGTGTTTTACTTCTCCGTCATATATCTCTACACGGTTCCTGATATAACTGGAAAGCGGGAAACAGGCGGCAAATGTACATTATCAACTTTTGTTTGGACAATCTGGATACAAGCTGGACGGACAGTTCTTTTCGGGTCGATTCTTGTCGGTCTTCATGGTGTTCGTAATTTTGAAACATGCTTGCATCGCTAAATGTAACGATGTCAATTGTAGATTATGCATATGGCTGAAGAAAGATTATTTGTGCCCCATGGAGTAGCATCACGAGTGCGGTACAGCTCCGAATTTCTCTCCGCCGCACCTCCGAAGCAACAAATCTTCCGCCGCTCATTTTATGAGCAGACATTTCCACACCCGAGCTTTCGCTTGAGCTACGATGTCGCTCGCACGAACATCCAACGCCCTTCGAAGGTGGCCATGTCTCTACGATAAGCCTCCACTCTCCCTGTCTACCGGCTATATCCCAAACAACACCCGTCTATCGGACAACCGCACCCCTCGCACTACCAAACACAAAACCACATCTCCACAAATCACCAGGCCATTCCACTGTACAGCCACCTGCAATGCAGCTCGATCTCCGGCCGCCCGTCGAGCTCAGGCTCAGACTCAGCGGCTGCGGCCAGTCTACTCCAGCGATGGCCTATTCAACCTCCCCGCGCACGGTGACCTGACAGCACGTCTTAGGTACCTCGACGAGAAAGGTCCGCTGCTATGGATGTCTGCATTGGCCGAGGGGCTCCTTGACGACAAAGTCACGAAGAAGGAGTTTTTAGATATCGCGAAGCGGTTACTAGAAACCGCTCATAGAGAGCTGCCGTCCGCAGACGCCATCCGGGGGATATCCTCAGGTGCGACACCACCCACCCTCTCCAATTCCTCCAAAGAACGCATCCCTAACTCTCTAACGCACACATAGATCCCGACCTCATCTTCCAAATCGGCTACATCATCTCCGGCGGTAACCCAACCTTCCGAGAATGGCTCCTCGCCTCCACCACCCACGCAGGCGCCCGCGTCCCCCTCCTCATGTCCGCCGCCCGGTACCTGAACTCCCTGCGCGACGCCGCCCCAGTCCGCACCCCGACCCTCGAGAAAATCGAGCATCTCGCCCTCCACGACCGCGACCCGCGAGCCATGACCCTCCACGCCAAGATCCTCGGCCTCCGGAAACGCTACGCTGATGCCCTCCGGCTCATCGAGCAGGTCATGGCCCTCATCTACCCGTCCAAGGTGCCCGTTGCAAAAGACGGGGGGTTCGCGATGGCGCGCATTGAGCCGCCCTGGCGCGTGTACGCGTGGCTGAAGGAGAAAGCGAACGCAACCACGAAAACAGGCACAGCAACTGCTGCCGAGGCTGGAACCCAGACAGATGGCCTCCTGCGCTCCGCAGCGCTGGATTACCAAGATCCCCAGTCGCTGGTCCAGTACGCCGCGGCGCGGATGCAAGCGGGCGATCTGGCCATGTATGAGGATTGCATGAGCCGGGCCGCGACGGCGGGGAACGCCGAGGCGTGCCGCCGTCTAGCTAACTTCTACTATCTTACTTCGCTGGGACGGTACCCGCGGCGTGGGGTGCGCGAGGCCGAGGCCGAGGCCACGGCCCCCGTGGAAGCAGCGACGGAGCCAACCTMCAGCGCATCCTCGCAAACGAGTGAACCGAGCAATCGGGGAAAGTTCTCTGCTCTGCTTTCCAGTGTCTTCGGGCCGCAGCCCCGCGCGGAGTACCGCAAGCTAGCGACAGAATGGTACGAGCTGGCCTTCAGCCATGGCAATGAGCAGGCGGCGGTGGTTCTGGCGGTGCTGCTGCGGGAAGATGGTTTCGCGGCTCGGGGGTTGCAATTGCTGGAGCAGATTGAGGGATCACCTTCGCTTGGGCCCCTTGTGAGGCAGATCAAGTCTCAGTGGGATGAGCAGGATCAGGAGGTCGGTATCCCCGCTGAGCTGCTGGACGTTTGATCTGCCGGAGATGATTTTCTGGCAAATGCCCCTACATGTCTGTATGTTATTCTGATACCCTTAACGCATGAGATCTTTCCTACGGAGCAGTATGCTTCTGCTGTTATTTTCGTGGCATCTAGCCCCCATACGGCCGCCTACTGGACGCCCCGAAACCGGATATATGGCGGTGTTGTGAGGTGGCTGCGGACCAGATCAAAGCTTCCTATGTTATTGTCTTGCAAGAGGTCAATTCTTCAGGCAGTCTGACCTGGAATAGTTCAATATATTGAAAAGATGTCACCCGACCATGTAGCACGCATTTCGCCAACGTTATAGATCATAATGAATCATCAAGCTCATCTGATTTGGACTCTAAAAACAACAAAAGAGAACGAAGATGGTATCGGCCAATTCTTCTCATATAATCCCATTGTGAATGCACGCTCTCCATGCATAAAATGATTAGTAACCTAGTCCAAGAATGAGCATCCAACGCCTGAGAGCTCCCTGTATGGCCAAAAATGACCCCCCGAAAGAAAAAAAAAATTAAAATAAAATAATAATGCAAGTCATAATCTCGTTGCAGCAAATCGACCTCGTATCGCCCATCATCTCCGCCGCCCCTTGCCTTTCCCCTTGCCCCTGGTTTTAAGCTCCACGAACCCGAGCTCCTTCAAAGCCTCAGTCAGAGGCGACGAGTCCCGCATTCCAGGAAAGTCTTTTGCGGGATACACGCGGAAAGGGTCGGACCAGACCTCAGCCAGGACGGGCATGGATTGACCTGTATCTTCCACAAGACCCCAGTTCATGAGCCGGAACTGGAGCCGATAGACGCCAGCAGCCCGGATCGACAGGTCGGGGAAGACGAAGAAGGTCGCAGGGACTCGCATTTTGGTCAGATCCAAGTCGTTGGTAGAATTGACCGCCCCAGGCTTCGTCTCTACCTTGTGATCCGCGCTTGTCGGATGAGGCGGGGCCGTCTGGGGATCCGGATCCAAGTCGACGTGGAAAGGCGAAACAAAAGCTTTTCCTGAAAGTAACGGCGTGCCTGGGCCAGGAGCATTCTCTTCAACCCTTTGAGAGGCCGTGCGGTCCTCTCGGTTTGCGCACGACCCATCGGCTTCGGGCGAGCCTGGCCACGAATTCGTTGCTGGAACTGGGAGGAGCAGACAGCCGACGGTAAGTCGAGGATCTTGGAGGATGTCCAGATCGGCCTCTGACTGCGGGTCGAAGTCGGTGAGGAGCATCTGGATGATCGGCGGCGGATCTACTGGTCGTCGGTCCCTATCGCCAGCACCGCAAGCCCGAGCAGCTATGGGTTGTTGTCGAATGTGTAGGTGGTAACGTGGGGACGCCGAGACTCGTCTTGGAGGCGGCGATGGCCCTGGAGAATGATTGAGTAACCGATCGAATCCCATCGGGATGCCTGACGAGACTTGTCGTGGCGGTTGCGGGGGTAGGGCTGGTAACCGATTTAAGCTGCCACTAAGCGCTGCTGAGCTGCGGTCAGAATGAACAGGACTGGGGATTCTCGTGGAGTTACTATAGGGAAAGTAGTTGGTTAGCACTGTGGGTAATGAATGATTGAAATAGGAGCCGTGCGGGAGATATCTCCTTGCTCGTTGAGTTATCCGTCTCTCTCTCACTCCTCTCTTTTGAGGTTGAGTGAGCGGATGACTTACCAAGAATCGACGTCCCTTGTGTTATCTCTGGGGCTAACAGCAACTTGTCCATGACTGTGATTTGAGACCCCATGGTGAGGAAATTGTGAGTAGTCTCCATCGGTTGGTGGACCGCTCCATCGCATTTTCATTTGGCCTATGGAATCCGCACTGGCAGGGGCAACACTATCCCAATGATCCGGCCCCCTTTGCTGACCGCTCCGCAGTACCTTTATTTGTGGTACGGAACCAGCACTGGCAGAGGCGACGTTATACCTCTGCTCGACGCCACCGAGCAAAGGATGGACAGAAGAAGAGAATCGGGAGTCGGTCGCAGTGGAGACGACTGGCGGATCGTAGCCTTGGGTGCCTTGAAAGATAAACGGCGACGGCGGTTCATGCTTAGAGTAGGAAGAAGCAGGCTTTGGCGTCACCTCGCCCCGTTCACTGAAGGATGCGGAACTTTTCGAGTTGAGATATCGGCTGACGGAAGTGGAGTAATTCCATTGTGGAAACGGCGTGCCCGACATCTATGCAGAACCGCACCGGTGCTCGAGGGGCCTATCCTCTTTTGCCTCCGTGTAACCATTCACTGCGTGTTAGAAGAAGGCAGAGGGCGAGGTCCCGCGATATGTAAAGAAGCGAGGCATCCGTGAATGAGACTGATTGCGGCTGGAGAATAGGGTTAACTGTGTGAGGGGCTTGAGTGATATCCTGATTGGTGCAGAGAAGCAAACTGATGATGCCGTTCTGCGAAGACCAAGAAACATTTATTGCCTATAGCCTGATGCTGCGCGTTGATAACAAGATCGGGCCGCAAGACAATTCTAGACAGTCGAACTTGGTTTTGTTGGAATAATAGAAGGTGACAAGTTGGAGAAGATCATTCGTTGTGGATCAATAATGTCGAATCTATCTGAGTATGTTGGTTAGCATGGATAATTTGCATATACGTTGTTCTTCGACGACGACGACGTGCGGGCCACGGCCGTAAGGCGCAGCTGTTCTCCACCTTTAGATTATTATTGGAGAGAGTTTGAAAGACACATGCTTAAGGAAACAGAATACAAGGGCCTGAAACGAAAGAGTCGAATCAGCAAAGGACAAGCGTCTGCTTGCCGAATGACAGAGGCTGATGATGCTCCGAAGGCTGAGTGGGCGTAGACTTCTAGTAGGTACTACTGACCCTGGGATGACAACACCGTAGAGCAACTTCAAATCAGCCAATCCCAGCTCAAGTAGAAGATCAAATGGAGCCGACGCAACCAGAATGCCAGGCGGACCTTCCCAACGGTTTTGTCGGTAAGTAGTAATGATAACTAATAGTTGCCTGGAGTCCTTGTGTGTGTGTCGATGAACAAAGAGAAGGGAATGGACAAGCACAGCCGACCATGCAACGGCAACAACAGTGCGTCCCTGGCAGATGAATTACAAGGTAAGTCTCCTGTGTCTGACTGCGGCTTCGGAAGAGCAGATAGAAATCATAATCAAAACTAAAATTACATACGAGTCTGATGGGGGGAAAAGTACACTCACTGTTTTTCAAGAGTCCAGGGCTAATATTAAATACTGATACTCTGATGATCCAGATAGACAGTTTCTAACAAAGAAACAAACAACAAAGGAAAGCTGGGACTGGAACCATGGATTGCAAAGTGGATATCCTGGAACGCTAACTAATAGAGTGCGGCGGAACACTCCAGGTTCCGGGATTTATTATTATTGAGTCTACCTTACCAGGCAATTGATCACAGATACACTAGACTAGGTTATAACAGTAGGCATCGAGCATGATATTGTGTGAGCGCAGAAAAGGGGTTGCGACTTCCAATGGAAGTTGATACTTGATCCCAGACCGTATGCCGGAGGTCTCGTAACAGTAATATTAATGACCGTCTTGGGTTTGCTGGATCATTGATTTGTTTGTGAGATTTTTGTAGGTATCCACAATCGGAGAGCAAACAACAGAGCAGGGAGTCTAGGACTCTACCGCAGTAGAACTTATGCAAGCCAACGGGACTAGTTAGTGCCCACCCAATAAATCCGGAATATAAAACCTAGAGCGAGCCATACCGATGGTTAGTATCGAGTGTTTCTAGGAAATAGACAAATAGAGGGTCTCGTCCGTAATAGTACTATGGAAGCCGGGATAAACGTGAGATCTGGTGTAACCAGGACGCTGGACGCCACATACGGGATATTGATTGATTGGTCGCGACTCACAGCCGTCTTTTTGATTGAATCATTAAAGCCTTTGGGAAATTGGGTTGGCGACTTGATGATCCATTACGGAATACTCCGCAGGGAGTGCCAGGTCATCAGAAGACAAAGACTGGCGAGAATCTAGTCTAGCGGTCGGAAAATCGTCCCCACTTGGATAGCGGTCTTTGGAGAGGACCTACCTTAACTAGGTAACCAAGTTGCTGATCCATCAAGGGCATTCCTTTTCGAAGGGTCCCTCTCCACTTCGTATGTGGAGAGGTATTGAGTATCGGAACTTATCTGTGTGCTCATTGCTCACTGCCGAGTAGACACTCCGTATTGCAGCACACATGAATACTAATGTCTCGTTTCTTCCTGATCTGCATCGGTATGAGAAGATTCGTCGGCAGATGCAAAATCAGATCCAGGAATGACCCCAATGGATCTTCGTAGATGGTTGATGGGCTGATTGCATTGCTCTACTAGGTCATTTGACGCATTGGATATCAGACTAAGAAATGAGGTTCGCTTACTGGAAAGCTATCAAGTCTCCAGAGTCCAGACGTGTTCCAAGAACGGGCCGTAGAAGGTTTCGGTTCCAAATGACCGAACCGCGATGGCAGGGTACGGTTGAAGTGGTTCGATCTCCCCGCATTTCACAAAAACCAGGAAACGATAGTACTAGTGAATTAGTGACAGGGACAAAGTCACGGAGGAGCTACTCGGCGCTTCATTTGCTTGCGGCCCTACCTTAATTAACAGCCAGGCACGATGCCGTAGCTGCATCACAAGATTCACATCGTTTCAACATTCCAGCTGGAGAAAATGAGGCGCAGTTCGAGCAAGGCAGGCACTCGACTTCATGTTTTCGACGGCGATCATGTTTTCCTTTTGCCTTGAATTTTGCATTCGCTCTTCCCAGGCCAGGGATATGCACTCAAAGAAAACTAACGCAATGCGAGGTTGCCTTTTTGCCTAGGCTGGTTGATACGTCACACACTTTGACTCGATCCTCCTGGCAGCCAAGGATTCAAGGCATTCTGTATACCTACGATTATGTGATCCGTGCTCAATATCAGTAATGATTGACTGGTCACACTGGGATCGTGGAAATCTTGCGAGCAGCGAGGAAAGTGTCAAAATTCGGAGCCAATATTTGTTCGAAGTCCTCCATACTAATGTGGTATTTGGAACGCATCAATCTCATGTAAGTTCGCCTGCCAATCTTCCTCATTCGGGGCTTGCAGTGTCCCTCATTCCCTTGGCTATCGCAGGGGCGTGAGGTTTATTCCCTGTGCTTCCTGCAATGCCATGTTATTCCTGCACAGTGATTCTTTGTCGTGAAAATGCAAGGGCCCGAATGTGAGTATAGCTCACCATCGTCAGTCTGCACCGAGCTCATCAAGCATGGCCGGCAAAAATCACAGAATGCTTGAATGCTTCTATGGAACGGCTGCGGCCTCATACCGATAATGCTGACATACTTGAGCGGACCAGAGCAAGGTGATACTGTTGAACAGCAGCTGACAATCCGCACAGGACGCTCATTTGATCAGTGCATTACCTCATCAAGTCCGAGTCTTTCGAGGCAGTCAATCTGACCAGCCGTTCCGTGATTCGGGAAGAAAATAATGAGATAATATCATGTTTTCGCTGGTAGGATCTGCCCATTGCCAACAAGGGGTCTAGGAAAGGAAAAGAAAAACGTCCACAACGCACGCCCCGCTTGCCAGATACGGAAATAAGTACACACGCCCACTAGGGTCGAGTTTGTAAACCGAGCACTGCAGCTTTTAAGCGGGAAGAAACCCAGTAGCCAGATACAGTAACTTTGAGAATACGTCGATTTCTTTTTCTTCATCACAAATCGGCTCAGTGCACCTTAGAGGAGGGATAACGAACAAACCATTTGTCGCCATCAGATATCCAGGGGATTGCCTTATAGTACCATCGTAGATCAGAATTATTAGATACTCCAAATCGTGATAATGTGAGAGGACAAGTTTCAATGGATGGTGACAGCTAAAATAGCGCCTCAAGCTCTGATGGGGTTCCAGGCAGGTACTGTTTTGACAGATAGGCAGGTGTCCGCGCCCTCGCTCCATTGATGCTTGGTTATTGTCCAGGTCGCGCGGGGAAGGCTACCTAATCACATCATTACAGCCATGCCGAGATATCCTGCCTTGACGGTCTCAAGCCACACTTGATAATCCGGTATGTGTTTGTGCGGCAGATGCAGCTCACTCTGTCGAGATCCGATCTGGTCCCTAATTCAGCTCTTTTAGCTAATGCTAACTAACCGCTGGCATTAAGGAATACAGCTGTGTAGATCCAATGAGCTTTACACTTGGCAATCGGCGGGTTTGGGACTGGCTCGCCTTGCTCTAGTACTTTATCGGTGATGAAGTGATCTGAGACAGCAACCAAAGGAAGCAAGGGCACACGTTCAAATCACCAAATCTTTACATGGATCCACATCAAGATAGCATTTGGTGATATCGAGTTCCGGTGACGAGTGATTGCGCCTATGTTTAGTTCTCTTAAAGTCGCTTCGCAGTTGGATTTTCATTATCGAATTGAGATCGAATGGTATTCGTGGCATATGCGACTGGATGCCCGGTCTTATTCGGCCCTGAGCCTTCCCGACAAAGACTGCGAAGAGCTGGCCTGAAGTGCGGTCCAGGGCTACCATATGGCCCGATTCTCTCCATTCGTGCTCCGAACTGGGTGCTTTGGGCTTTATGATCAGATATCCCAGCTGCATCAGGTGCAGTGAGCGAGTATCTGCTGGTGACAACCCGGAATTTTCAGGGTCGAGCCGGAGCAAACCTAGAGAGGAAGGTGAGCTCGTCGTGTGTTCCAAAGGTCTCACTTCAGAAGAGTCTAGAACATCGACGGGGCAGCGTTGAGGTACCCAGGCCAGCTCTAGCGGTGTATTTTCAGTGGATGATTGAACAACCGGAATCTGTTCACCTCCGTGCTCGTCTAAGCAATTGGCAAGTCTGGTGAGATCTGAAAGCGATCCAGAACAACCTAAAGCGTGCATTTCGGCAATCAAGCGTTCGCTGCTTTCGTATCCAGTACTGTCTCCGTCCATCGTAAGAAGAGGGTGTCCGGTCGCATTGTAACTGATGTCAGATATACTCGTGTGAAGAGATTCGTCGGGCAGCCAGCTGATCCCTAGCCTCTTCTCCATGTGTTCGAGTTGGACTTCGAGTATCTTGAGGTATTCATCCTCCCCAGAGAGACGAGATAGCAACTCGCAAACTTCTTGATTAGCGAGAAGTACACTCAGGTTTTTGAACTTCGATATATAAGGAAGCCTGTTATCAGCGCGCTTTGAGATTTCTTCCAGATACGTGGTGGCCATCGCGACATCCCCTTCCAAAATCAGGGCCATTATACAGGAATAGGCAGTGTGGAAATCGTGATCGGCTGGTTTGGCAGACAAACGCCTCAGAACTTGGCCCCATACGGTATCGAGCAATTTACGGCTCTTTAGCTTGAGGAGCACTCTAAAATACCGGTCAATTGATGCGACCGGTTGTGCAGGTAGAGCCCAAACCAGTATGGTGTGCAGATTGACTTCTGAAGTATCATCGACGCCCGATTCGCCAGTCACTTGCTTGAGCATAGAACAGGTATCTGGATGATCTCCTTGACGCTCGAAGGATCGGATGGACATGTAAAGCGCATCCACCAGGGCGACACTTGGCCTCACACCCAACTGCCTATGTCTGACAGCAAGTAAATCTCTCAGATGTCGTTCGAGGGCAGCTGTAGAATAAGAAAGGCATGCGTAGTAAATCCCCAGAGTGTGTAAGTTCCTATGAACAGGCGCCTGCAGTTTCTGTAGTCTTGAAATGATTGCATTGATAGCGACAAGGATCTCCGCAGCCGAGTGGTGTCGTTGACAACGCTCCAGCGCCTGCACCAGAAATTTACAATGATCTGCCTGCAGTAATACACAAGGCGCATGTCCATTAATGTGTCTTTCTATGAAGATCTGTAGATGACGAAGATTCCGCACATCATGCTTGAGACCTTTGAAAAACACTTCCTTATCAGTGCTGGCGGTTTTTGAGCGGAGAGAGCTCCACAAAGGTGGAGGTAGAGTAGTCAGGGGCCATTCGCCTGAGAACACATCGTTCAAATGGTCGTCCAAGTCCTGCTTTGACACATCTTGTCGCAACGTTTTTGTCGTTCCCGTCAACGCATACCGAAGAATCTGAGATGGAGTAGGTTCATGGTTTGGGGCTTTTATTTTAGTGATTGCCGATACCAAACGATACTGTTGCGATCTGTAGCGTTGTGGGAGGCTGAGATGCTTCAATGGATGGTCAACTCGGCGACACAAAAAGTAAGCCATCTGCCACTCTGCATTGCCAGGAGAATCATAAACCGATAATCTCACTCTGAGATATCGGTGGTGAGAGGGAGATTTGGAGCCTGAGTACAAAATACAAGCTATGCTAAAGGCGGTAAGAGGATTGGTGGTCAAGAATACCAGAGCGCTGTCGTAGATTGAATTTCATCATCGATCCTGCATCCAGCTTCCATCTATCTCGCCTAGCCTGCATTTGAATTTCCTTGGCCTACAACATAAATTTGTACCAGGTTCGACGTATATTTCAAATAGAACCCCTGAAGGACCTGTGCGACTGCCATGATTATGCCTTCCGAGTGCGTTAACGAAGTGTCTGCGGCCAAGCCTTCCGACGACAACGCCGCTTCAAACCAGACTCAGTCTAATGAAGACCCTGCTGAGCCAGCAGCTTCGGGAGAGTCTCAACAGAAGACCTCATCCGAAAAATCAGAGAGCAAAGAAGATGATGCAGCTGCGAAAGCTCGCCAGCGGCAAGAAAGATTCAAGGCCCTTCAAGCTCGTGCTGTGAGTAACCACGGTCGCAATCGTCAAATGATCCACCATTTCAGCTTCTCGATTGCCTTCTGAAAGTCATGTATATGCTGATGCTCAAACAGAAAAATGCAGCTGAGCGCAACCTGAAAGAAACTGCGGCCGAAACCCAGCGTCTAGCTACTGATCCTGCATTGCTCTCTTCATTGTCGCGCAAGCACGCATTTGCATCTCACAACCTTCTCAAAGCAGATACAGAGGCTGCCGGCGAAGATTTCGAGCGTAAGAGAGCCTGGGATTGGACCATCGACGAATCCGAGAAATGGGATCGGCGTATGGAGAAGAAGCAGCGTCACCGCGACGATGTTGCGTTTCAGGACTACACGCAGGATGCACGGAAGGTATACAAAAGACAGCTACGCGAAATGCAGCCTGATCTGGAGGCCTATGAAAGGGAGAAGCTGGCTGCGATTGAGAAGGCAGCTGCAAATGGTGACTTGGAGATCGTTGAAACCAGTGATGGTGAGATGATTGCGGTCGACAAGAACGGTACTTTCTACTCGACGGCAGATACGATTGGGTTTACGGAGAACAAGCCGGATCGAGCTGGAGTCGACAAATTGGTCGCGGATCTGAGAAAGGCCGAAGAGGTCCGACTTAAGAAGCGCAGGGAGCGCCGGGGAGATGAAGAACCCGACGTCACATATATCAACGAGAAGAACAAACAGTTCAACCAGAAGCTGGCACGATTTTACAATAAGGTATGGCTCTTCACGAAGACTTCGTCTTTACGAACGGAACTAATGCCTTTCAGTACACTACGGAGATTCGTGACAGTTTCGAACGCGGTACAATGATTTGATCCAGTGATACCTGCTTAGGTCTAATATACAGAGCGGGACTCGTTATTACATCCCAATCGGTGAAGTGCCTAACCTCATCCACCTCTCGGCAGCGGCCTGCCAGGCAATCTCGAAAACACGAGAGGTTGGATTCAAAGCATGCTTTTTCTCCACGCTTTGGTTGCCAGGTTTTCTATCTGCTTCGTTCCTACCGCACCGCGAATGGACTCGTCCTCCATCGCTTCCACTACAGCTTCGCCCACAAGATCCACCTGGAAAGGCTTATCGACCATCGCACCGAGGAACCGAAGCCTGTCACCCAAGAGAGCGTTGAATTGGGAGGCAACAAAACCACCCAAGGCTATCGGAAGCGTGAATTTTCTGCTTGAATCATACATGAAGGGCGGCCTGATGAAGATACTTCGCAACTCTGGCAGTTCGGACGCTATGGTTGTTTCAGCTTCTCGCTTCGTCGTGATATATCGACTGGGTAGCATTGGTGCTCCCGAGGCGGCTGATATGTATACGAATGTTGGAACATGTTCTCTGGATGACTCCTTCGCTAGTGCAATGGCTGTTGTTTCCAGTTCGCAGTCAGCTCCGCGTTTCTAGCAAATTGATAGTCCCAATATATACGAACCAGAATCCCTGTTCATGATCTCATATGTCAATTGTCCGTCTTTCTCCTTGGGCTCCAGCCGCTCTCCATCTCGCATCGTCAGAGGGTTCTGGCTACCCAGTTTCGATGAGCTGAAAGCCCTCTGTAGGCCACTGATAACGGGCTCCTTCCCGCGTACCACACCTTTGTAATCTGCTTCAAGTAGGATGCCCATACTATGGACCACGACGTCGGCATCACGCAAGAAAGGTTTGTATGTGTCAGGCTTAAGTAAATCTGCCTTAGCCCATTCAACGGAATTGGCCCATGTTGGCCGATCGTGTGAGCTGGTAACAGTATCCCATCGAGGTTCTCCGGACCGACTATGCCGTCTAAGCAGGCGCCACCAAGACCGAGGTTCGGGTTGTGAAAGTATACCTTAGAGATGTGACAGACCAGCCTCTGTTCGCTGCCGATTTACAAATCCGCGATCCTAATTGAAAGTCAGCCCTTAGCATAACGCTATTCAAGAGCGGAAGAATCACCCACCCAAGAAGCCGTTTCCGCCGGCAACTACTACTCGTTTTGAAGCCATTCTGGCAAATGGCTGATGAGGAGATTGAGTGTTTTGCAATAGTTAAAAATAAATCAAGCGGACAGTAGAAAAATGGTCCTTCATAAGTGCCTCGTAAGTTCATCAATAAAATTGCTGGAGTAAGCTAAAGCTACGGAACGCCTGCTTCCGACTATCGTCATCGGCCATCGATCATTGATTATCGGTCACGTCACGTGCCGATCAAAGGAGGCAGTTTGCGGTACAGGTCCGAATAATTAAATCCAGAAGCCTACGTTCCAACAGCTCGTTAAAGCCCATCAAATTGCCGCATCTTCAGTTATACTTTGGGTTAATATCACGCAGGATGCCTTCAGCGACCGGAACCAAGCGCGTCAGGGTTCGTGCCAAAGTTGATCTCTTCGATCAGTTGCAATATACTGACCAGTGCTCATCGCAGGGTGTCTCGATTTTCAGACCGTTCGGTATGTCAACTTGCCCATGCTCTTGAATTTGTAGGGCTTCAACTTCTAACCCTTCCCAGTCTTTGGCAGCGAAGCACGGCCATTCGACCCTGAGAAGAAACCCCCTCATGTCCCAGCAGATCACACCCACCAGTGGCGCGTATTTGTGAAAGGAGTCAATGACGAAGACATTTCCTACTGGCTGAAGAAAGTTCAGTTCAAGCTACACGAGACGTACGCGCAGAATGTACGCACCATCGAGCAGCCACCGTTTGAGGTGACCGAGACCGGCTGGGGTGAATTCGAAATCCAAATCAAGCTCTACTTCGTGCCGGAGTCCGGCGAGAAACCACAGACACTATGGCATAGTTTGAAACTACACCCATTCGGGCCCGGCGCGGAGGTCAAGAAAGAGCGCAGGGAGGTGGTGATCAGCCAGAATTACGAGGAGATCGTATTTAACGAGCCTATGGAACCGTTCTACGACCTCCTCACAGGCGGACCTGCCTCCCAGCAAACGCAGAAGGGCAAGGGAGGGAAGAATACAAAACAATCTGCGCAGCAGCGTGGAGGTCGGACCGCCGAAATACCTCAGAATGAAACCCCGGAGAACCCCTACAGCAAGACGACTGAGAATAAGGAGCTGGATCGTTTAGAAGCGGCCAACCAGACGGTTGAGCAAATGATTAAGGAAGAAAAGGAACGGCTGATTGAACGCGAAAAGAGGCTGGCCGAGCTGCGAGAAAGCGAAGGCATCCCTGCCAGCACTAAGAAGAGATGATCGTTCTTTGCCCGCCGGACAGCTACTAAAACGGATGCTCGCTTCGACTCTTGGGCCATCACGCACCCCAATCTATCCACTAGATACGAGACCTCTGCGACATGCTCACTGCGTGCTCTTCGTACCCAGGAACAAGTCGGCCTTCTGCCACCGTCTCCTCCGCCTCCATCCACCCAGCGCCCCGACAGATGAATACCTTACATGAGTATGCAGTCATAGCCCCAATTGAAGGCTCTAAGGTCGGCACATGCGCGTCGGTCCAATCAATGTCTCATGGTTCGCTACTTTCAACGCAATTGGGCATTTCCAGTGAGTTGGCATGGGGATACGGGGCCAATCACGACAATTCTGGGGAGTCAACACCTGTAAATTATCTTCAAAGACCTTCTAGTGCATAGCACCCAATGTCAGTCAGGATATTATTCTCATGCTTGCAAAAGCACCCTCTCAAGAAATGTTTCTCGCGTCAACGTCCTACCATTGATCGTTACGATTTCTGTCTTGTAGCCAACCAATGAAACGATTGTCCCACTTCATGTCAATCTCATAAATACGCGAGGATCGTAGGGCCGCCTTGAAGTTAAATCTTAATTTTTTTTTTAACTGATCATATTTCTTCCCCTTGCATATTATTTAATAGTCACGCGGGTCTTTGATTGGGGTTCCGCTTCCGTATCCGCTTCCGGACGCATTGTCCAATATCCACTCATATCCGCTTTGAGCCGGATGTTATGGAAATGACAGAATGTCAAAGAAAGTTATTCATCATGACATATTTGCGAATATGTGTGGGGCCAGGTTTAACTACATGTATGATATGCAATGGGTAGGTAGTAAAGCTGAGTTCTCATTCAAATGAATAAAGATGAAGTCATTTATGTACAAACCCTAACGCCGTGTTCCGTACTCCATGCTCCGTGCTCTAAAAAGCAGTGAGGATATCTACTCTCTACTCCTTAATACTCGCCTCTGACGAAAAATCCCACCTTAATCAGTATACTTGGCCGCAGCTTTTGTCGTATCCCGAGTCTGTTTCAAGAATGGGATTAGGTCGGTTCCGCCTGTACCACTGTATCCTGCTGGAGTGTCATTCGGACGTGCGACTTGCTTCGCTGCTGTCACGGTTGCGAGATTGACTTGCGCAGACGAATGTTGGGTTGGTTTTTTCCTCGAAGGCGTGATAATGTATCGCGAGACCATCTGAATATGCTTATCCCGGAATGCGCCAACAGCCATGACTGCCGCGTTGTATGCGTTCCTGACCTCTGTATCTGCTTTGTAGCTCATGGAGAATTGGCGCACGTTCGAGGTTCGAATCATCATCTCCAGGAAACGTCGGTGAGGGCCAGGCATGTAGTTTCGCATGTCCTACGTCGAGGATAGTTAGTTGCTGGCTCGACTTTGAATGAGGAGCCCGATTGAAAGTAGATGCTTACCTGAATGTAGCCAATCTTAGGCTTGGACTGAGGTGCACTGTTCACTTTCGCTTCTCCCGTGGCTGAATGCTCCACACCCAAGAAGATATCGAATGTTTGGATTAGCGAGCTCTGCGCATTGCTTCCCCCGCTGTACTGATGCCACTCTCCGTGGCCTCCCAGATCGTAGAAGACACCCTGCGGCAGTCCAGCTGAGGCCATATTCTTGCTACCAGCCAAGAAAGGGCGAAGTTGATAGAAGAAGACGGAGGGGTTGCACTTTTCATACATCCTCTCCAGAATTTCGCCAAGCTCTTTCAGGCCATCTCTCAATTGATAAAGTAAAGTTGTGACTCTTTGATGGTCAGCCAGGTTGGCTGCATATATAGCATTGAGCATCAGGGTAATTAAATCCGCTCCTTTGGCTTCGATAGCAACAGAGATCATGAAGAACCATTCTTCATCCTTGGTGCCGGTGAACGTTGTGATGATAGACAAGTTGTCCGGGTCAGTGAGATCAATATCAGGGGAGGAGACTTTAAAGTTCCAGAGGTTCAAAGCGGCATAGGTAGCACATGGTGGCAGCTCTAAATGCTTTGAGACCTCCAGGATGGGGCACGACACTGCTGGTGGGAGAACCTAGAGGGCCGTGAGAAGCTGCAATCAAATAATGACAAAGGACGCATACGTCTTTTGGCCGCTCGCCTCCCCAAATATAGGCATGAGTGATAAAAGCAAGCACAACATATGCTCGCCGCCATTCTGATTCTTCCTGCAGCCTGGAAATTGAGAGGATAGGAAGACTGTCAACCGCTTGCCGTACATTTCCCGCTGCGAGCCGAGCTGGTAGATCAGCGACAACTTCCTCCCACGGAGAGTAGTATGGATCGGTCAGCTTCTGCAGAGGAAGGGTGTCGGGAAGAAACCCGTTTCGAAGAGAAACGCAGAACTGGTCAAGCACGATTTCCGGTGTGTTAAGCATGGCGAGGGCCTATTCGACAGTATGAGAAGTGAGTGGCCAATTGTGCAAGAGACTTTATAGTCAGAGATTCTGGTAATAAGCTTTAGAAATAGGAATATTCACTCTGTCCATGTCGAAGCCAGAATATATAGGAAGGAACTGGTCGGGCGGAAGAGGGCCGGATCCATCACGGAACGACAAATTGGAGGCATGAGCACAGGAAACAGTAAGGAGGTGATGTGATACCCGAAGAATGGGGACATGGACCACTTGTGAAATCAAATCACCATACCAATAATTGTGAAAATCAATATTGCGGGTATCATTTTGACAATCATTCCTTCCATGAGCACGGATTCCGAGGCGGAAGCGGATAAGCCTCCCGCTTCCGCCGGGGTCGATGGAATCATCTCGAGACAACGTATAAAGCAAGGAGTGTCGGACAGGCTGTCACTGTCAAAATCTTTTTGCTGTGATCTCACACCAACAGCACTGGTGCCACATCTTCATCCATCATGACTACCAACGGCACACTATCCAAGCCTGAGTTCCCTGCCAATGCGGCAAGCAAGGAGTATGCGGCCTCTCTGGACGCTGCAGACCCGCTCGCAGGCTTTCGAGATAAATTCATCGTCCCATCAAAGGCAAACATTACCTCTACCAAACTCGCGAAGCCTGGTAAGTAGGATTATACTCCAAACAACCGCTCATCCTCGCTGACGAATGTTCCTCAGGCCTTTCATCAGAACCATGTATCTACTTCTGTGGCAATTCCCTTGGGATTCAGCCCAAAGCCACCCAGAAATATTTGGAGGCGCAATTGGACACATGGTCATCAATTGGCGTCTGCGGTCACTTCACCAAGATTGAAGACTCCCCATTAAAGGAGTGGCAGAATCTGGCTGAACAGGCTGCCGAGTCCATGTCGAAGATCGTGGGAGCGGCGCCCGAAGAAGTCGCAGCAATGGGTACATTAACAATGAATCTGCACTTGTTGCTCGCAAGCTTCTACAAGCCAACTGCAACCAAACGTAAGATCCTGATGGACTGGAAGGCGTTTCCCAGCGATCATGTGAGTTTGATAGCGTCGCCCTACCCGCGTGAGTTATGCTAATTTGTCACCAGTATGCCATCGAATCACATGTTGCCTGGCATGATCTAGATCCTCAGGAGACCATGGTGCTCATCGGTCCTGATGAGGGAAAATATGAAATCACCACGGAGAAGATCTTGTCTTACATTGATCAGCATGCAGACGAGGCAGCTCTCGTCCTGCTTCCCGGAATCCAGTACTACACTGGGCAGTTATTCGACATCCCGAAGATCACCGAATATGCGCACTCACGAGGACTTATTGTCGGATGGGATCTGGCTCATGCCTACGCCAATGTCCCACTAAAGCTACACGACTGGGAGGTCGATTTCGCAGCTTGGTGCACTTACAAATACGGCAACGCCGGCCCTGGGGCAATGGCAGGTCTCTTCGTCCATGAGAAACATGGTCAAGTCGACTACAGCGAAGGAGAGGATGCGCCAAAGTTCCGACACCGTCTGACCGGGTGGTATGGAGGCGATAAATCAGTGAGATTCAAGATGGACAATAGTGAGTTCTCGTCTTCCGTGCAGATGACTTGACCCTATTCAGTTCTAATGTCAGAGCAGAGTTCAAACCAATCCCTGGCGCGGGTGGATACCAGATTTCGAACCCTTCGGCGATCGACCTTGCATGCTTGTGCGCTACTCTGTCGGTGTTTGATGAGACCTCCATGGCTGAGCTGCGCAAGAAATCTGTCTTGATGACGGCGTACCTCGAATACCTGCTGTTAAAGGACGCCACGGACGAGTCGCGGCAATTCCAAATTATCACGCCTTCCGATCCTGCCGCTCGAGGTGCTCAGCTCAGTCTTCTGCTTAAGCCTGGGCTATTGAACAAGGTAGCTCATCGACTGCAGGAAGCAGGGATTATTTGCGACAAGAGAGAACCAGGCGTTGTCCGCGTCGCACCTGTTCCATTGTACAACACTTTCACAGAGATCTGGATGTTCGTTCAGCAACTCAAGGCAGCTCTGGAAGAATGAATTTTGCTGAGTCGTCATGTTCAAGGCTCAAGTGTAACGTGAGATGATCTTCGGTTACTCCATCGTTGATCTGTGTTCATATGGCTAATTCCTATGCCAAATTCCGCAAGAAAAATGAGGATAGAAGTATACCCAGGATGACTGTTTAGCAGCTGTCCGTTTCAATGAATCGTGCCGCTCGTATCATAAATCTCGTAGGAGAGGTAGCTCCAATCCCGTATTTGTGCCTGGCCCTCCAATGACGATGTTTTATTTTCAATTTGCGACTCTGCTGTTCTAAAATGCACACTTCGTTGTTTTCAAGCCATTTTTGGTTGTCGCCTCGAGGTGGGAATGGGATAAGTGGGTTGGGTCGTATTCGTTTCGATGCCCAAATATGGATAAACCATCTGCGATAATACAAAATATGCCTCCACTCTCCTCCTTCAGTGCCAGCGGGTTTCACCCTTCTGACTGAAGATTGCAAATTTAGACCCTTTTCCTTTTGGATATACTCATTGCTACCGTGTCAATACGCGTATGCGAACCCTGATCGAGTAACCCATACGAATGCGAGACTTGACTGGGAAACTACCTCATATGACGGCTGCTACAATGTTCCTCGGTTTGGAAAAGAAAGAGAGAAAGACAGTCTTATTGCTTATGACGACTGTATTTTTTTAGCTGCCATCAGATAACTGCAAATCTTTGCGTTGTTGGGACAATTCCTCACCGCAAGGCAGGCTTCATCCTGTGCCATCAATACTATTTGCATTGTTAGGCATCAGTCAATTGACCCGACTACTTGTGACGGTCAATTCATAGAGCATCTGTAATGGCCAAAGCGAGATCCACTGGTATCCTACCTCCATTGAGTAAGCTATTTGCATAAATATCGGGGACCGCCGACTCTATCACATTCAACACTCGCATAGGTCAGAATGAACCTCGCATTTGAGAACCACCCCAAGATCAAGCTGCGCCTCCATATCATTGTTGGCGCGTTACTTTTCCCGAACTTCGTCCTCGTCATTGCACGCATAGCGGATAAGGGCACGCCCAAGACGAGGTCAAACACCTGGGGTATTGTCGTGGTGAGTGTGACCGTATTTCTTCTGTGGAGTGATCGAGGCTGGGGATAGCGAGATGCAGCTCAAAGCTGACCCGAGACGTCGAGCTCTTCAGTGTCTGAAGGCTGCCATCTTCCTGGCTTACGAAGTTGTCACGGCTCATGTAGAGCGGTTCAAGCGCTGGGCAAGTGCGAAGGCGTACATGATTCTCAACATTATCGACACCGTTTTCTGGTTTGCTCTCTTCATCATCAGCATCCTGGGAGCGAACGGCGCACACAGTCCGAGCAGCCGTGCGCTCGGTGGCATTGTCGCTACGATAAGCATAATTTTGTGGTACGTGAGTCTCTATCAGAGAGGTGTCGTGATCATCCATGCTTATTGGAGGCGTGCTTCCAAGTAAAAGCGCTGATTATTGAGCTTTTACAGTGGAATCGTTGGCTTTCTCACTTTCATCTGTTTTCGTGGATGGAGATACTTCAAGCAATATGGCGTCCTTCCAGGCACGTTTAAAGGATCGAACTGAGGATCTGATTGATCACGATGTTAACAACGACTCTGCCAATGATGCTTCTCAGATTGAGGGTTGATCTTGCATGGTGCAACGAGAGATCGGGGTGATCTGTTTGCATTCGACGGGTTCGATATGTTTAGGTGTTTTAGATTCTGTAGAAGTTAGGTGTCTCACGTAAAAGACACTTGTATGTTTGTATACAGATGAGTTCGCCAGCAGGATAAATTAGAAGTTACCAATCCCTTCTCTGCTGTCACTGCCACGTAAGAACTCTTGTCCCTGGGAGAAGAAGTTTGTGGCCAAGATAGATAACTCATCGTTGAAGAAATCTGGATGGCGCGGAGAAATTGTTGAGCCCATGGCATAGTGGGGTTCAACCGGCAGAGCAGGTTGAAAGCCATATTCAGACGTTCGTGACCCTGGATGCGATGGTTCAGAGTGTGAGTTCAGGCGAGTGGGTTCGGGTAGAGGAGACGTCTGCGATACTTCCATGTCAATGGTAGGGGGTTCGCTGTACAACGAATCGCCGAACAAGCGACGAGCAGAGCCCGTATCCCTGTTAAACGAGTATTCGAGGATTTCCCAAAATCGGGACAGGTCTATCAGTAGGCTCTTATTCTGAGCCCGTGGCTCAGGTTGATAAGAGCCTGAAACAGCGCCTTCCAGCCGTCGTAATTTATCCGCCTGTAAGATAAGTAGCATTGTTAGTCAACTCATCTTGTAGAATATGAGAGAATCGCTGACCAGCTGCGCCATGTGAGGCCACCTTTGCCCAATGTTTTCCACGAACTTGACACATCTATAAAAGCGATCGCGCTTCTCTTGTCGGATGGTTTTATCTTCAGTAAAACTTAACTGCAGCTCGATGGTCGCCACCACAGCTGCGCTGTACCCTAGTAGTGGATCCGAGACGACGAAGTTCTTATCTTCAAAGTAGTTTATGAAATGAATGATMCAGGTGGTATGTGAAGAGATAAGGTCCGAAGTGTGTTGCAAGAATATCTCTGGAATGGTGTTCCTGAAGTTCCTCAGGCTAAGCGACAGGAGAAGCGGATGATTGAGGAGACAGAGGTTTGTATGATAGAGAAATTGATTTAGGAACCACGGACCCCAGTATCCTCGGTTGGCTTGAAGCTCCTCAGTCGTTCTCTCGCTGAGATTGGCCGGTTTGAAGCGATGGATGTAAGGCATGCGTGTTTCCAGGTCCATTTGCAGCGCGATAATTTTGGAGTACTCTGATTGCGAGGACCACGGTGGGACACTGCTCGGCCGGCCGTGGCGACGAACGTATCTCGTGGTTTTGGCGAAAACCTCGCTTAGAATGATCACATATGCAATGATCCCCTGGTCTTCCATACCAGTAGACCGAGCCTCATCGGTTGGACTGCGCGGCGAAAAGGGAGAATGAGGGCGCTCAGGGCTTTGTGGGAACGGGGGGAAACTTCCATCAGGGAACCCCATGCTGTCAAATTCAACACCATGAAAGCGCTTTAAAAGGCAGATGCTCCAGAAGCAGCGTCGCCGCTCTTCACGGACCACCGCGGACAATGTAGCGTGCGTTTCGGAGCCCAGATTGGCGCATTGAGCCAAGTTCATTGCAAGGCTACTGTGAATGCTCGAGCGATGTGTGTTGCCGTCTGAACGGCGTTAGACTCGAATGCCGTTGACCAATGACTAGACTTACTGGTAAAGTCGATCAAACTTAGAAGGCAGAGACACTGTAGGGTAGATAATTCAACCGGGCCCTCTGAAACTCTCCTCATGACCAGTCCTCTGGCTACCTCTGTGTAGCCGCTCACAAGAGTAGCAAGATCATTCAACTCCTGGCAGACTCCGTCAGAGAATCGTATACTCAATGCGAGGATAGCGTAGAGGATTTCAGGGTCGCGAGTGCTGAGGCTGCTAAGGAAACTTCCTCGGTGAAAAAGAGGAAGGGGCTGGGACTCGCAATATAAGAGATATAATTCTGCCACAGCGAGCACTTTCTCCCAGGTAGGAAGTGGAGTAATGGCACTGATCATCGATGAGGTGATAGGGCTGCTCAGAGTATTTGGCCGAAGAGATGAATCGTCTGTCCTCTGCTGTTCGGCCCTAGAGCTATTCCGTCTAATTGGAATCATCAGTCACTGATCGGGTCTGAGACAAGTGTAGGAATCGCAGTACTCTAGAGCATCAAGAACTTTACCCATCTTCGCCTCCAGGCTCCCGAGACGATCCTCCTGAGACACAGTCAACGTGGAAAAAAAGGGCGGATTCGTACAGAGAAGCGAGCTCACCAATGTTCTAGTAACTCGCACTTCAGGAGCATCAGCGGCAGTAAAAGCGGCGACGGAGGGTGATCCGTCTGGAGTTGCATTTGGTAGCGACCTGCGTCTTTCTCCAGCGTACGCGCATCTCTGGCGCAATCGTGCGCAGAGCGAGCAGACCGGCTGCTCACCAGGACATTTTGCCTTTTTGCGCCTATGAAATGGTGAGCCAGCATGCCGAGTCTCGAAGAAAGATGGTCAGGCTTACCTGCATGGTTCGCATGCCTGCCGTACGCGTTTGCTTGGTCGCTCAAGAGATGTTCGGTTCATCTCAGAGCAGACCGAGTTAGAATCGTGTAGTTGACTGGATGTACGTTGTGTTCACCGTGTCATAGACAGACCATGCTCGAAATCTCATATGAATTGCCTACAGAAGCGCTCTGTGGCTTTTTTTTTTCGCACAAAAGTGAGACTTTTCCACTGTATTTCGTGTCGCATGCCCCTTTCAAATATTTGTATCAATCGCCTTATGGATCACATTGAGAGTCAAGGCATTATTGTTAGTGTTCGAAGCGGACACTGGGTTGTATCCCATATCCGTTCGGTTGATTACTAATCCCACCTTGACGGTACCACAAGAACGAGCAACATGGCTGAGAGATATCGAGATGGGGGCTCAATCGTATAGGGCTACAAAGTGGGAGTCTCACGATTACTAGTAAGCGTACAATACATGAAAGGCGTCTAGCAGATGGGCAGCTCGGAGTATTAGAGAAGGCGAGCACCTGTTCCAAGGACTTCTTTCTTTAAGATTGATTAAGCGATATCCGATGGCATTCAGTATATAAGACCGTCTTGCCATAGCTCAACCGCTGGAATAATTCGACGAATCATTTGAACAGACTGATCAACTCTTGCATTGATACCATTGCTGATCTTATATACAACGTCGTGATATTTCCTCTCAAAGCAACACGTCTGTCGAAATAGAAATACACCGCTAATGGATCCAGGAGACGCTAGTCCATGTGTTTGATCGGAAATTGGCGAGGATTTATCTAGTTCTTGCCGAACCAGGTCTTGTGGCCCTATTTGAATGTCAGTCCACGAACGCGCACAAGCCGCGAGGATAACCGGCTCCAGGGACATCGTAAAGGGCAGGGATACTAACAAGGACCATACGGCACATGGCATAGGTGGTGGCTAAAGTGAGTTAGCTACGAATGACTCCTTCAAAGTGTGGCAGAACTCACCAATGCCCAAACCGTAAACGGAGAGGAGGTAGGGGTACATGAGGTACTTGCTACGCTCGGTCTTCAATGAAGAAAGTACCAGTCAGCGAAACACAGTCATTGAAATATATATGTGTGAGCCCGCGGGCCAACTGACCTTCCACCACTGACGCTTGCCATCGTGCTGCTGGAAGAGACGCTGGTAGTAAGGAACACGGTTCTCGCGGAACACGAATCTAGGAATCCCAGGCAAAATGAGTCAGTAAATAGCATAGCGCAATTGAGTATTCCGAGGAGAGAGATGGCAGATTGCCGACAGGAATTGGACGGTCATAGGCGATCATCCCACCCGAGTCGTGTTGAGGATACCGGTTCGGTAGGAATTGAATCGGGAAGAACGTACCCAGCCATACGGGGAACAGTGCGGAACATCTTGACGGTGTGTAGATGCTATATCGCAGCTTCTAAATGAGGTAGACAAGTTTGGTGGGAGAAGGAAGACCAGCAACAATGATCAGTCGATGCCGTGAAGTGTGGATCCGGATTTGGAGCTGCAAGTCAAGCCTCAGGTGACTTTCCTCGTTCTTCCGCCAATTCGGATTAAGTGCTTAGTAATAGTCACATGACTTGTATTCTCTCTATCACGATCATTCCAAAAGAAGTATCTGTCATTGTAAAGTTGAGAGCTCTATGCGAAACGATTGGAGCCATTCATTTATTTGTCGCTTCATTCTCAATGGTCTGTATCTGTCGATTCTTGGACTGTCGATGAGGAGGATGCCCAGAGGCCGCTCTATCACCTTACCTTTCCATTCTCAGGACTCATGCGCCCGGCTCTCCTTCGATTATTGAAGAGACCGTCCGCCGTTTCGGTTCTCGACTCTCTATTATCGAAGTCCATCGGCATCGAGAACCTGGAGTCCAAAACTAAATGTTTACAATGCAGCTTGCGGAAGGCGCACCAAAATACGGGCGTTCGGCGATGCGAGGTCGAGGAACCCAGCAGCAACGAAACTCATATGCGTTTGAATCAATCATCGACCTCGCGCCCCTCCAGCTTTCATGTGTATGACATACAGTCGCCTCGGAATACAAGACAGGACTGTACATTGCGACAAGATAACGCTCTCAAATCCTCAGTGGCCGACAAAGACACCTCTTTGCGCTTTTATCTACAGCCCGACAAGCTAGACTTTGAATCGGATATCGGCCATACCCAGGACATCGGTACTCGCCTTGTCGACGATCCGGCCTACCGACAGAGGCTGGATCTTTGGGAGCAGCTGCTTCGCTATCGGCAGCGACACTATGGAGACAGAGGAACACTGGACATCTGGGTAGCTTTGACGGACCGAGTGGACGGTGTCGACCTGCCGGTAGTCGGGGAACAGGCCGATTTCTTCTGGCACAGTTTCGTTGATCTGGGGCTCAAGCGGGAAGTTATCATGGGGGAGGTGTTGGCCTATGCGCTGGAGCTTTGGAAGAGGACTGGAAGCCGATGGTACAAATTTTACGAAGTCGTCGTTGGTGGATACCTCGAGCGAGGTATGCCCCAGCATGCTATTCGATGGCATAAGAAACTTCAGCATCCCCATCTATCCTGTCCAAATGATATAATGAGGGTCTTTGAACCAACTCTAACTATGGTCAATGAATCGACCAAAATTGTCCTACCAACGACGGCCACACGACGCTCTGTATCTCCTGGCATTAGCGCTTTCAAGAACATATGCCGACTTACGGACGGTCATCAGATATATGGCTGTGCCATCTCACAGCTGTTGCAATTGGGTCGTGTTGAGGATGCATTTTCTCTGCATTCGTTTCTGGTTGAGAGACATGACCATCCGCAATCCTACGAGGAGATCCAGCCCCTGCTCCAATGTGCGAAGGAGCTCAGCCCGAGAAAATTCTACGAACTCCAGGCTTACAGCAAGGATCGCTTCCCCGACCGAGTGGCATCGGCTGAGGAGCGTGCCTCTGCTAAAGAAGACTATACGCGAGAGTCCAGCGGAAAGGTTTGGCTGCAAGAAAAGCCTTTCAAGGATGAACTGGGCGCACGGCTCTTTGCCACCAAAGCCCTTACCTTCGACACAACCGTCGCGGGGTTACGAATGTTCGGTGTACAGGCTATTGGGCCGCAATCTCTGCGAGAAATGGCAGTTCGAGCTCAAGGGAGCCAGGACCTTGCAGCTCGATTGCGAGAACTTCACAGAGCGGGCATCTCCATTGGCGATTCGGTTTTCGCACGACTAATCCGTAAACTGGCCTCGGAAAATCGCGACATACTTCTGTCGGACTTACTCCATAGCGATCAGCATCCCGATGTACTGGAAGATGCGGCGATGCAAGAGTCGCTGTTAATATCGTACTATATCGCTCGCGACTGGCGCCCTTATAATATGACACTTGCCATACTTACGGAAATATTTGACGATGGTTCTAAACTGAGCAATATCCACTTTCGCAAATTCATCGCCTCGGGGGAATGGGCTTCTGCGTCCAAGATGGTGGACGAAATGACACTAAGTGGTCAGAAACTCGCCCAAGAAAGCGTGGACTTTATGATTAAGCATACTCTTACTCCGCGTCGACCAGGAGTAGGACCTGTCCAAGGGACAGATGTTTCATCTAGCAAAGAAGTTTATTTTGTTTTCCGTGTTTTGCAGCGCGTCGTCCCCATGGGCACATCCGTGTCTCCTGATCTCTGGATTGAGATGCTGAAACGACTCGGGATGACGAATCAATGGGATGAGCTTCGCAGATGCTGTCTCTGGCTTGCTCGCCAATATTCCGCTGTCCCAAAACCGGGCGATGCAGTTTCTCTCATCATAAATTCTACGGACCGGCCAAGGCGTGAAGCTGACGGTGTAGCTCCGGATGATGGCGACCGAATGTTGCAAGCTGTCTTTAGCAAAAACATGCAGGCAGCTATTGTCGCGTGGGGATTCAAAATGCGAGTGTCCCCAAATCCCGATCACGACGGTTATAGTGCCCTAGGGCTTGAGAACCTTGTACCCTGGGTACGAGGTTTAGTGCTTTTACGCGAACTGGAGCACAATGGCGTCCGTCTTTGGCACAGCTGGATTCGTCGGGCCTGCCGACATCGCTTGGCTGTTCTCTTTGGCCACTCAAGGCAATCCAGCCGACACATGAACCGTATGTTACGAAGGGAATGCCCCTATGCTCCAGAGCGTGTGATTGCAGACATCGACCGTGTGTGGGGAAACCCACCCCTTTTCAACGGTCAGCAAGACGACGATTTATCCCAGCTGGTCAATCCTCCATGTTCGAACATGTCCCAACGAAGGACCGGACGAACGCTATGGAGAGAAGCTCGCCTGAAAGGAGCGGCATTCGTCAAAACCAAGTGAATTGCTGTATATTAAGGACCACTATGTACATACAACTTTATATCATTAGTCCTCCCCCAATGCTGTAGCTCCGCGCCACAGTCCATCTAGCAGTCAGGAGTACTACTATGTTTGAGGGTCCAGATCACTGTATCGACAACACGTGATTGGAACCCAGGCAACGTCGATAAAGATGCAAGACACTCTGAGCCACGGCTATGGCGTGTGTGTCGTTCCTTGGCGAGTTAGTTCGTTCATTTTGGGGTATTCCGTTCTAAGAATAGTCCCAAAGGCAACGCGGCCCAGGCTTGCTGAATCATTTCTGACTTTCTCTGTGGGACAGGGGCCCACCAGCGCAGTCAGCACTATCAGATCGCCATCCAATCCTCTCTGGCTTTCAAGCCTAAGTGGATCTCACAACGCAATCACTCTGATGCCGAGCTGTCAAGCACAGCCCGTTAGTGGATAGCGAGTTTGAGTTGATACTTTTCCTAGACCGTGTGGATAACATCAAGTGCCTGGGGCAGATTATAATCAATAGTCAATAATAAACAGTTACTTCAGAGCTTGGTTTTCACCACCATTCTTCATTACATCAAACCCCTTTCCCATTCTAATCTGAAACAAGTTTCTTCTGCATTTTTGTACTGCAGAGAATATCTACATTCCGGGAATCTGCATACCGAAGATCTATTCCTTCCCCAGCCAGTACTTGCATAGTCGCATCTAGATAGCAGTGTCGTGTTCTTCATCACAAGTTACAGGAGAGGCAAGCAGCATGCTAGGACAATTAGGACTCGGTGCCCTATCACTTCTCCCTTTGACATTCGCAACAGCGCTGCTTCCTCGAGATACAGCCTGCAATAACTCTCCTAGTCTCTGCTCAAAGTCCTATGGGGAAATCACACATCTGGGGACGCATGATAGTCCGTTTGTACGAGATGCATCGACCGGCTATTCGACCGCAGCGAACCAGTAAGTTGAATTCGCAACATATTGTACGGCAGCGGCCAAGCGTTTGCTAATACTTACTACAGATACTACAACACCACTTTACAACTAGACGCTGGCGTTCGCATGGTAACGGCGCAAGTCCATTTGCAAAACTCGGAGTGGCACCTGTGCCATTCGAGCTGTGAGCTGTTGGACGCGGGGAAACTGAGCACATGGTTAAAAGAGATCAAGAGCTGGTTAGACTCGAATCCGAATGATGGTGTGTCCCTATCTTTGACTCGGCTATGCATGGCTAGCTGAAGGCTGACATTTCTTTCTCTCCAGTCGTCACAGTTTTGCTGGTCAACTCTGATAACGCCTCTGCCTCCGATCTGAATTCCGAATTCGAAACTGCAGGAATAGTCGACTACGCATATAAACCCACCTCCTCATCCGCACCAAGCTCATGGCCTACCTTGCAGACTTTGATCAATAATGGGACTCGGCTGATGGCCTTTGTGGCGTCCTTGGACTCCAACACAGATGCCCCTTACCTTATGGATCAATTCTCGTTTGTATGGGAGACGAGTTACGACGTAACTTCGCCATCGAACTTCTCCTGCAGTCCCGATCGGCCGTCCACCGTGAAGAATGATCTCTCCGCTGCGCTTTCGTCCAACCGCCTGCCATTGATGAACCACTTCCTGTATGCAACAACCATCCTGAATATTGAGTATCCCAACTCCACTTACGCCCCAACCACAAATGCACCCTCCGGCGGAGCGGGGAATCTAGGAGACACAGCGACGAAGTGCCAGAGCGCTTACGGCCGTCAGCCGGCCTTTATCTTGGTGGATTTCTTTGACAAAGGCCCAGCCATCGATACCGTGGATAAGCTGAATAATGTCACCTCGCCTGTTGGGCGTACCAACCTCACAACGAGCTCAAGCTCGAGCACGACCACGCAAACGAGCTCTGCCTCAACCTATTCGAACGTCTTCAAGGGATTGGTTGAGCTAGTACAGCAGGCCAAATCGGGCTCGAATCCCAGTATGGGCGACTGGGTTTGGGTTGGGGGAGACTGGGGAAGTCTTCTCGGCGGCGGTATAACTCTGTAGCCGCAGCGTCATTTCATGCCGCTCATCCATTACTTCAATTTTGCGATATTCTTGAACCGCGTGTATTTCTGTGTCGTACAGTGCATGGTTGGTGTTTGGGAGTTGGGAATCATCATGCAGCAGAGATATCTGGGTCTTGTGTTGTTATATCTATGGGCGATTTTCAATGTGGATAGTATTCCTAGACCAATATAGAATTACCTGTGTATCCTAGAACCCGCAACGCCTCCGCAATGCCAGACGATCGTACACACTTCTCTTTACCAGCACTCAATTGCGTTCACTGATCCTGCGCCAACAATTGCCGCACCTTATTTACTTTATCCTCAAACGATTGCTCCTTATCAGTCCTGGAACGGGAAATCGAGTCAGCTKGCGCCAAAACCAAATCAGGGACGTAGGAAGAGCAGAGTACAAACCTCGAGCCAACCCGGATATCAGTCTGGATCCGAACGATACCCTGTTGGTGCAATAGCATATGCGCCTGACCAATGACCTGGTGGACCTTGTCCCAGGGACCCTCTATTCCAAGGACCGATATCAGTGACCGCGCCAGTTGGCCAGCTTCAGGATGAATGCAGGATTCCAGAACGTACCCAACGTTGTACCAGCCGAGTGCATCACGTATTTGAGTCCGGACTTTTCGATTAGGCGCTGGACGTCTGCGATTTGGGAGGATACGGAAGGAGAGGAGGTCCCGATCTGTGATTTGTGAGTTCAAGGTCAGTATCTGTATGTATGCGCTGGCCGTCTTGAGCATCCGAGCGGATTGATGGGTTATTGAGTGGTTGGGGTGGATGGATGACGCACCGGAATCAAGCAGAAGTCTGCCGTGCAGTGAGGGGGAGTCGGGATGGATGCAATGTCTGCAGATGCCATGATTTCGGTAGATTGAACGGGATTGTTTGCGCAGTCAATTCGTTGGTGAAGATTTTGCAACTGTGACTCGAAGCGATGGGACTTGACTGGGGTAGGATCTTGAAGACGAGATGCTTGATCGGAAAGGAAACTCTTTCAAGAACGCGGGGTACAAACACTGCAGCGGCGGGGCACTCTCCGTATAGTATCGCGATTGTTCAGAATTTCAATCTGCTGTTTTTGCAGCCAAACTTGCGATACTTGTGCTCGAGTTTACGCAGTTAAGTTATTCCCTCCCAATGACGACATCTGTTTCTAATCTTGCTACTATACATGATGCTGCAGCTACAATTGCTTCTGCAACGCCACTTCTCATATTCACCGCAGATGATATCTCTTGATTCCTCCCCTGCTATTGACGGACTGCCGCAATGTAGCTGTACACTATCTCAAACTGTACATCTTCACTTTCCAGGTGTTATTATCGATTCAGACGAGATGTGATAGACCCACGGATGCTCTGCTGCACCAAGGGACTCGACAGATGGACCCATCGCCCGAGTACTCTAGGTTGATACGTCGGTCATCGGTTATCGGTAGCCTTACTGCCTTACCATTTTTTTCTTTTCCTTCCCCGGATTTTCCGAGAGACCCCAGTAGTTCCTCGTGCTGGTACCAGGCTTTGCCAATTCGACAGGCCGTGAGACGGGTTTTCTGCTTCATTCCTTTCGGGGGAGCCAAGGTGGATGATAAGGTTACGCGAGATGAGAAGGATGCCTTGGCATATCCTTCAATTTGCGTCATCTTTCGAAGATGACTTGATTGAAAGCATGGGAGTAGAGAGGCACCTTATCTTATGATTATTTCTCTATTTGTTGTCCGTCCTCTCCTTTCCGCCTCTATTTGCTCGCTAGTGAGGCCCATTCCACGGTACACAGGGAGACCCCAGCAGACCACTTTGAAACTGGACGTGACCCCCTTGTCCGTCTGAGCATTCGTCCTATGCAATTTTCCTTTTCAGTTTCTCATATTACTTGCATGATTCTACTGCCAGTCACCGTTACGCCATCGCATCAACTGACCACGCATCATTATTCCTTCAGTGCGTTGCAGGTCGTCTGAGCGCATTAATAGGCTTCCGATGCGGCGCTGACCGCCTATTTGTTAGAGCCGTGCACCGTTTGTCGATTGTTCAGTGACAACGCTGTCGGCGTGCCCGACGCCCGAGGATTGAGCATCTGAGCTGCTGGACGGCTTATTATATTGTTTGAACCGTGTTGTGGTCTTCGATGGTTCGTTTCTCGTTTCAGAGACTATCTTAAAGAACTTGCAATTCTCCCCAGCAATACTCCGCTGTCGGATGCACTCGAGCTACTGAACTTATTGAGCCGATCTTCAAATCGTTTCACACTACTCTGGCCGCCACCAACCTGATTGGGTGCAACCTGCCTAAGACTCCCAGGGTCAAGGGCCACAGACACCACGAAGTTGGCAGCTCTGTCTCCATCGGCTATCAACCAGGCACAGACTCCTTGATCTAATCCCACTCGGTCTAAACGGTATCGGGGTTGGGGTTCTTTTCCGGTGGATATCTACCAGTGACACAGTTGGCTACACACTTCCACTGTGTTAGGGTAGAATAGCAGATTCAGGCTGACATAGATACCTCTGAGAGCCTGTTTACTTCGCCCTACTTTGTTGCCTCTCCGGGACCATAGCGTTCAGTCACGCTCAGCGAAAAAGTAACTTGAGACAAATACAACTTTTCGATTCCTGTTCGGCAATGCTACAGCTTTGATGTCCTATCGTCAATTTGAAGTCTGCACTACACTACTCGTTTCCGACTCACGTGCTCGACTTGTTTGAGTATATTAACCGTTATCTAACAGTGTACAAAGAGGAAGGTCAGCCCAGGATACTCGAACAACATCTTCGAGGTTTCCTCCGGAACTACTGATCTTCCAAAAGCCAATTCTCGTCAGGAGACAATGGTTCATATACGGAGAAGGAGTACCATACATCGACAGGCCACTTGACGAATGACAAAACCCGCTTTTCTGGAGCTCCCCGCTGGAGCTCAACTCATATACCTCGCTGAGGGTGGAGCCAATATCATTTATCGTATTGCTTCAGCTCCCTCGCCCAGTCACATCGGCCCAACGGTCATTCATAGCGCTTCTGGGCCTCATTTGACGGTTCCTCCAGAATTCAAGGGGAAATTGCTTCGACTTCGAAAGGAAACAAAGACAGGAATCTCGTACCAGGAGATTGCGCGTAATTTCGACAGAACTATCCGCCCATTGTTCAGTCCTGAGGAACTGGTGGACCAGGAGCTTGTGTACCTTCCGAATGGACTTGTGCAACGTTGCAATGAGCAATTAAGCGCAGCGGAGCACAATGGCGAACGTCCCAAGAAGCGTCAAGGGGTGTATCTTTCGGTCACAGAGCCTTGTGGGCTTCTTGTTACGGATATGACGACTCATTGTACCCCAGATACCGTGCTTGCGGAATTGAAACCTAAATGGCTCATGCAGTCACCATCAGCGCCAGTTAATGCTCGGAGATGTCGCACGTGCGCGTTGCGGGACATGAAAAATCACCAGAGTCGGAGAGCAGGTGGGGCTGAAGAGCTCTCGTTTTGTCCGTTGGACCTAGTATCCGACAAGTTCGAGAATGTCCTTCGCGCAGCCAAGTATGTCAAGGGCAGTGAGGACCAGGCCAGACTGGCAAGAATCCTCTATCGCAACCCTACATTACAGAAACTCTTGACGCATCAGAAGGCTATGCGTGATGTGGGGCTGCATGGGCCATCGGCGCAGTCTCGAGAGCAGTCTCTTGCGATGACCTTGCGAGACTGCACGATGTTCATAAAGGTAGGCCACTCGACTCCCTCTATGTCTGAGACGATTCACTAACGACTTTAGTTTCCGCGTGACGAGATGGGACCAGTGGAAATTCGCCTTGGCGACTTGGACCTCAAAACTGGAGCCGGTGGTAAGGCACAATACTGGCTCAATTTGGAAAGCCAGTTGATCGGAGAAGGCTGGTATCTGGGCAACAATAGTGACTTGTCCCCAAGTGAGTGCCTGCTGCAGCGTTCTTAGGCGTAATGTCATGCCTAGAGACCTTGCAGTCTCCTGACTACGCTCGCTTCTTCATTTAACTGCCAGCATCGAAGTTTTCCCATGGCACCATGCTCTAACAGCATAGTCAACTTTTTAAACTTCTAGATTTGATGAAGGCCTCGGACATATTCAGCACTTTATTTTCGGTTATCAATACCGTCATCTAATCCTGGCGACACCTTTTGGACATTATTATGGGCGGCTTTTGTTTCCATTTAATGTATATTAGAACACCTTCAAGATAGCGTGGCTGCTACTTATGATATCTCACGAGGTTATTTTCATCTGCTTTGATAGTTTTGCATGAATGCTCCTGACCAGTGCCCTGACTAGTCCGTATTAGTTAAGCTCCAGCCCGGAGATATGACGTCATTTCATCCCTATCGACAGTCTTTCAATGAAGGAGGGTCTAGACCGTTATATCCGGAAGTCTAGACTGTTGCTTTGGATACAGTAGAAACCATTATCTCGATGAGAAATCGTCTCAAGTGTCAAAGTACAGATTCAGTATCATCCGGGCTCCTCACAGTCGTCGAACTCAAGGACATCACCACGTTGCGGAATCTACGTAGGCCGTCAGAGGTTGGCATCCAGAACTCCATACGCAGATCAAAGATCAGGACTGATACGGCTTCAACAGACGTGGTTAAAGCCTGCTGTCGTTGCAGAGATCATTGAAATAGGGATTCTATGTCTCTAGACCGCTATCTCAGTATATTATTAATAAACGCCTTCGATCTGACTAGCCTCCGTTGAACTAACGGGTAAAACCGTTAATGATCCATTCTTCCGTAATTCCGAGCGAGCTTAGATTTGATGACTACAGATTATATCAATATTATGCCACGTGGTGTTGATATTTCTATAGCACATCCGACCCTCTATAGATATATAATTGCCCTTCGACTGCGCGGAATTATGCTCCGTTCGCTTTATCCACACCCTCAAGTACAAATACAGATACAAGAACATGGCATCCCCTCGACTCCTCTCTCGTTCCCCTCTATCTTCGTTCCTTCGTGTCCCCATCCAGACCACCAGCAAAGCAGCCCTCATCTCATCCACACTATCAAGAGGTCATAGATCCTTCAGTTCTTCGCAGACCAAGGCGGCGGCACCCAAGATGTCCAACACAGGCACGCTCATCGAGCTGGCCAAAGCCCGCCGCACAATCTACAAACTTGGCAAGAACAGCCCAGTTCCGGACTCCAAGATCGAAGAGCTCGTCAACGCAGCTATCCAGCACATCCCCAGCTCCTTCAATACCCAGTCCACGCGGCTCGTGGTACTCCTGCACGCCGAGCACGAGCGCCTCTGGGAAATTGTCATCGACACCTTCATGCAGCTCGTCCAGAGCGGCGCCGTGCCCGAGGCGACATGGAAGAATCAGACCCTACCTAAGCTGCAGGGCATGAAGAATGGTGTCGGGACTGTATGTCTCTCCATCAGAAGTCTCTTAAAACAGATCCATGAATCTAACCCACCACGCCATAGATCCTCTTCTACGAAGACCCAGCACACATCAAGCCCTTCTCCGAGAAATTCGCAACCTACAAGGAGCACTTCCAGCCCTGGGCGGAGCACTCGAATGCCATGCATCAGTACTTCCGTACGTTTTTCTCTCCGTATCAACTGCGTTTGCGCTTGTGCATACTAATATCCACGATACAGTCTGGACAGCCCTCGAGTCTCTCGGTTTCGGCGCAAACCTCCAACACTACAATCCCCTCATCGACGGCCCCGTCGCCAAACAATGGGACATCCCCTCGGACTGGCGCCTCATCGCGCAGCTCGTCTTCGGTAGCCCGGAGGGCGAACCAGGCGAGAAGACGCAGAAACCCATCGAAGAGCGGGTTAAGATCTTTGGCAAGCTATAACTGACCTCATCCTTGTACCACTACACTAGACATAGTGTGAGTAGAATAGATTTAGATTAGAGATTAGAGATATATATATACAACAATACATATATACACAGCATGAAGTCATCACTCGTCACTGGCCACACTTGACGTCAAACGTCAGGAGGAGATATGATCTATCCCCGCTGATACCCCTGTCCCGCCCACCTGGACGGAGGAAAGTTGTAGTCATCATACCCCTGGCCCGCATATCGACCCTGAGGAAAACCATAAGTATCATCCAGATCTTGCTTGGCGGCTAGGACCCATCCGGCGTCTGATAATCGTTGACGGAGTGCCTTGAGACTCAGTATTCGCTTGAGTTTGGTCAGGAGGTCGCCCATGGTGGGTTGTATATAATTAGTTAGGTGGAGGCGGCGGAGGCCGTAGAAGTATAGGATGTTGGGTGCTCGATGTGCGAAGTTCGATATTCAGTGGAGCAGGTAGAGGACGTTTCGAGTGAGTAACTTCTAATCCCCGTGGAGCTTTTATTTATCCCTTCAGAAATTCAAATCGAGACCCTGGTAGAATGTTTGGGTAGGGAAGAACGGTTCCCTACTTCGCCGCTGATAATGTGACGGCCAAAGAAAGAGGTGACGTGACGTGAAATCAGGAGGACTTGGACAACCATTTTGACCAGCTTTGAGCATTCTTTACATTTATATCTCTCCAAACGGCTCAGACCGCGAGTCCTACAAACAAAATAAAATTACGCATTGCAAAATTTCTCCTACCTTGTTGCTTCGGCGGGCCCGCCGTTCGACGGCCGCCGGAGGCCTCGCGCCCGCCGAAGACCCCAACATGGAGTGGCGAGAAAAATGTTATCGACGCGGGAAAATGCGAGGGTTTTCCGAGTTTCAGCCGAAGATCGATCTTTGTATGCATACATTAAACCTAACTACCTACTCCGTACAATAAGAGATAACTTAGTAAAGTTACCCTTCGCGACAAATGGTCAAATCAAGAAGTTCAACACAGCAGAACATTTAGTTGCAGGGGAAAGCTCCAAATCAATCATTGGTTTTTGAAGAGGATATAAAGCAAGAAACGGCAATCAACGGCAACGAGCACAATCTAACTACAAGGACTCGTGACTCAACGAGATGTTCGGTACCAAAATGCCTCCGGATCCCCCAAGCATTCTCCAACTGTGACCGCTGTCGACGGATTAGCATATGTTAAGCGTAAATCACATTATCAATAGACACATACTCTGCAATCCTCTCGCGCGGATCTCCTCAAGCATTGCCATTGTTAGTGTATGTACGGTTTGCTCATGCACATCGTGGGACAGGATGATGCTTCCGCCGGCGTTCAACTCGTTCCGGAACTTTTCAAAACTGCGGGAGATCAAATCGGGATGGTCATTCTCATAGTCCTTCGTGTCGATACTCGCGCTGATGACATGGTACCCCAGGTCACCCATGACCGACAGCACCAGCCCATTGAAAGCGAGGAAAGGAGGCCTCATGTATGTCGGATAGAATCCTAGGACTTGCATAAAGGCATCTTCCAATTGGGTCATCTGCGCGACAATGGCGGGATAGTCCAGCGAGGTGAGATAAGGATGGCCCCAGCTAAGAACAACTGTAAACTCCTACAATGGATTGAACCGGTGGATACGTACGTATGCGAGCCAATCTGATGACCTTCGTCGAAAATACGCCGCACGACAGCCGCGTCACCATGGAAGCTCCCTTTGTTTTGGCCATTGAGGAAAAAGGTCGATCGCGCACCGTATGCACTGAGAAGTCCCAGGAGATCGGGTGTGTAGACGAACGGTCCGTCGTCGAAGGTCAGAGCGACCGTACCAGGAATGACGCATCTGTCCAAGATGGCTCCGAAGGGCACAGGGGAGTTTCGTTTTCCAATGGTCTCATTCAGAGGAGATGCCCAGCTTTCGCGAACAAGGTTTGAGGCAGAGAGGAAAAGAACGAACATAGCCCAGCGGCGAGAGGAGACCATGATGACGACCGGCAGCTAAGCAAAGAGTAAAAATGAATAAAGAGTGTGAAATATTGATAGTGCTTTAGTAAGTGGTATAGGTAAGGGTCTGGAGGTCTGTATAGGAGGAATGACAAGAAGAAAAGAATCGGCATTGGACACAGTAGACTCAGCGCAGAATATTTATAGCCTTCTGCCTGAGATGGAAAAGGAAAGACGAGGAAGGTGTAGCTCAGGATAAGGAAGGCGTGTCTGCCGCATCGTTGTGATGCTAGCACTTGCAAGAAGTTTGAGTGGAAAGAATATGGGAAGGAGGAGACGAGGACTTCTAAGCATGTAGAGACGCAGGCTTTCAAAGCTTTTGTGGGTGCCTTCAGAGCATGCGCTTTATGGACTATTAACAGTTTCTTTTCGAACTGGAAGATTATGATGACATTAAACAGGCCAAGTGCATGATTTTCGTAAATGATTTTCGAAAGTATATCTCTGTGAAGTCAGCATTCCATCAAGAAAGCTTTCAAGTTCATCTTCCGAATCCCAGCTACATCGCGCACCCACACATGACAAATATAGTTATGAATACATTGATATAAAGGTAAGGAGCAACGAAGAAAGACCGTCGATTTCCAATATCGGAAAGAATCTGAAAGCGATCATGCTCTCTTGGTGTACTTCTTCATAGAACGTCTCTGGCCCTTTTGCGATTCACGCTCAAGGAACTTGCGCTGCTCTTCGGCAGTCATGCCACGGAGGAGTCGCTCTCGCTCCTCCTTCTTGATCTTCTCAGCTGCCAGCCTGCGTTCCTCTGCCTTTTCTTCCTCGTCAGCGCGGCGAAGCTTCTTGATTTCTTCTTCACGGACGTGCTTGATCTTGCGCATCACCTCCGGACGGAAATGAGCAGACGCAACGAGCTTGTCAGCAAAGCAAAGGAACTGGTTGAACAGTGGCATGGTGGCGGAGTAACCAGAAGCAGACGAGGGGAGAGACACGGAATAATGAATGCGCTTCCGGGGTGTAGTCTCCTCGATCCTGGGAGTAGTATTAGTCTCGATGTTCCGTTTTAACCATGGAATGACTCACTTCAAGGGCTTGTCGATGGGCTGGTCAGTGACAATGAAATATCTGAAAGAATCACCAGCCTTCTCGATAGCCTGAATCAATTCAGGTGTGAGGAGAGTGTCGGTGATTTCGGCACTCTCTGTCATAACGGTAACCCAGGATGGTAGCTTGGCATTGTCCTTGGTAAAAGTCATCGACGCATCGTAGCGATCCTGGCGGAACTTGCGCATGTGGTTCTTGTGCACAACAGCCCAGATGAAGCCATCGTAGGCCGAGTTGTTCACCTTCAGGGAGGAAGTATCGTTGGCGGGTACGGGAACAAAATCCTTTTCTCTGCCATCAAAGGTGTAGGCGACTGCGTCGAACGTCTCGGTAGGAGCCTGCCAGCTGTCGAAGAAAAAGCTGAGAGCATAATCGGACCAGTAAATGATGGGGTTGTACCGCTTGGGCAATTTGATAGACATGTCAACGAAGGCGACGTTCTGTCTGCCGGTGGCATAGGAGATGAACTCCTGCGCAGACTTCTCCTTCAAGATGGACTCCGGGGAGATCAATTCCGCAGGAGCAGTATCGGCCTCGCCGGTGGATTTGTGGACACCATCGAATCCCACGACCGCGAACTCGCTCTGGAGAGCCGGCGCATGAGCCTGAGCCCATTCCTTGACTCTCCGTCTATTCTTGCGCGTGCCCCAGAGATGAAATACAACAATCAGAAGGATCAATGGCATGACCATTGCTTCCTGCATAAAGTCCTTGGGAGAGGTCCGCTCCCAAACACGGTACCATTTTGTGTAGGGAACGGCGGTGGCACCCTGGGTGTCGAGGGCAGGGACCGACGACGACCCCGCTACTATGGACGCAGGGGACGGCTCGGGAGCCTTCACAAAGTCGGCAAAATCTAGAGAAGCGACAAGTACAGGTCAGGAGAGCAATGACAATAGGAAGAACGGAGCAAATGATGCCTTCCCAGAACCAATGGGGCAGCACTCACCATCCTCAACTTTGGCTGGATCTGACGGCTGAGAGCCGCCAAACATATTCTTTAGCATGCCAGCCATTGTGGAAGGAAGACCTGATCAACGGAGGCTTATCGCAACGTGGCAGAGGAGAGAGAGGCGAGGAAGCGAAGAGGGAGGGAAAGGGTTGGGGTCGATTTGACGTTCGCGATCGGAGCTGCGCTAAGGTGGTTTAGTCTGTGGAGCCGAACTCTGGGCAGCTCCAGACATAACCCCGAGATAAGTGATACCACGGTGCGCGACCGGTGAGGGCACGAGCTTCGTCTAGACACACAAAAATTTGATATCAAGGGTGACGACGGGGTGTGCTCATGAAGTTTACGATCTCAGTAGTAGATTAAGGAATTGTTGCCAGTAACATTGAGGCTTGTGTTAACACAATTTCGATTCCACCATCCCATCCTATGCCGAATACCAATGGCTAGTCGCTACCACGATGGATATAAAGAACAAAGAGAGATATGAAAGAGAGAAAGCGAGTGGGTGGGCGAAACAGCAGAGACAGATATACAGTTCGGACAAAAGAGTGAGTGAAGGAGTGGTATCCTGGGCAAAATACAAGAAACACCGCAAAGAAGACAAAAAAAACGCCGACGCCTTTTAGATATACAGTTCATCATACAGAAAGTCTAGGACCCGCTTCAAAAGAGACACCAGATGAATAAAATAGTCGAAATAACCAGCAATTAAAGGCATTGTCGTATCGGTCATTAAGTTTCCAGACTCGCTGGATTTTGAGGCACAGAGCCATGGAAGGAAGAAGAGAAGAAGAAGAGAAGAACAAGAGACTCATGAGTGTCCAGAATAATATGGATCAATGGCCATAGGCCGGCGGAGGGGACTCTTCTTGGCTGTGGCGGTCCCAAAAGGGACCGCAGGCGTTGCTTGCCATGAATTTCTCGTCTCTCATGCGACGCGCAATCTCTCCGGCGAGCCTTTCAACCAAGGCCTGGTCGACAACCCCGCCGGTAGGACTGTCATTGATAAACGGAAGGATTGTGGAGGGTAGTTGTCGCGATGACCCTGCAGACGAACCAGCGGCCTGTTTTCCCTTTTCAAGAACAGAGGCACCATGGGCGCGCACAGTGGCACGAGGCGTGGCGCTCATGTCCTCGTCCTGAGTGGCCTGTCCGACAGGGTTGGACGATGGTTTAGATTCTGCCGTATCGTGGATCATCTCTGATGCAATCTCACGGCGGAGCGCAGGCCGAGAAATACTCATACGGTGTCGTTCGGGAATTGTAGGAAGGTGTAGATCACTATCCGGGGACAAGGGCGGCGTCACCGGATCATCGGTCTGTTCATCTAGGACGGGAAGAGGGGCT